CCCAGTATTGTCCAGACAAGGAAGGACAGCAGCACCACCTCCCTTTCCCCAACCCGACGTCACTCGACTCCACACCAGAGAACAGGCGGACACATTCTACAAAGCCAGAACACTTTGGCTGCAGTTTTATGCAGAAGGTCACCCACAGCTAATACCCAGAACACAACACGATCCCCCAGTAGTTGCAGCAGATGTCTACAACAAAATAGACTTTAAAGAATATGCAGCACAAGGTGAACCAATACCACCTCCCACACCACAGATACTTCCCACAGCACCCAACCCATCTCCAGCTCCGCCAACACACACTATGTCCAATGCTGCAGCATCCAAACCAACAATGATCGGAAAGATCAATGACTTCGATGGGACCCCAGATAAGGCCCAAAGATGGATATCATCCACCAATTTACACTTTGATATCAATGACACCATTTACACCTCTGACAAGAAAAAGGTGTACGTGGCCCTCAGCTACATGAAGGATGGAACCGCCACCTCATGAAGCGAGGCCAAGATGACCAAATACAAAGAGAAGAATGCCTACCCCATGTGGGCAGACTTCATGAAAACCTTTACAGCCAGTTTCAGAATGGCAAACGTGAAAGGAACAGCCTCGGCCGCCTTGATGAAAATGAAAATGGAACCAGGAGAAAATGCAGTGGCATTTAACTCAAGGTTCATGCTAGATGCTGGAAAGAGCAACATCAACAACAAAGCCATGATCATGGTTTATCAGAAAGTGGTCCGACCTCCCCTCCTCCGCAGAGCACTCACCAGAAAGAAACTGGTCACCATTGAAGATTGGATGAACACAGTGGCAAACCTAGACACCAACTGGGTCAGTGCCAATGCCATCTTCAAAGGGACTTGGGGTAACAGAAACAAGGAAAGACAAAACAACAAAAATTGCAAAGGTGGACCATCCACCAGCGCAAAAAGACTAACCAAAGAAGAAGTCTTCAAGAAACCCGAAGGAAAAAAGGGAGATGCTTCATATGCAATGAAAAAGGGCACATAGGAAGGAATTGTTGGAATAAGGGAAATACTCCTGAAAGAAAGGTAGATCAAACCAAAGCGGAAGATGACACCAAAACAGTGGTAGAAGAAGACAAGGTCCAAAACATCATGAGAAGGTGGAGGGAGTTAGGGGAAGATCAATGAACAGAAGCAATGAAGGAATTAGAAGATGAGGGTTTTTGAAACAACGGACTACCCCAATGTGAGTACCGTCAAAAGTGGCAACTGTAACAATAGCAACGATCAATGCCAACTCTTTACAAATTGATTGCTCATTGAAACAGAAAACCATCAGAACCAAAGCCCTGATAGATTCAGAAGCTACAGATGACTTTATGGACACAAAATTTGCCATCAAGGAAGAAGACAGTGACACACCAATGATACCAGCATCAATGTTCCTGTATCACACACGAACAATAAAAGATACAATAGAGCGAGCAATGCTCACAAACAACAACTATCCAGGAAGAACAAAGAAGGAAGATTAGAGAAAAGAAGAAGGACAGTTCTTCTACCAGAATAAACTACTAATTGACAAGACAGAGGAACAAAGAAAAATCATCAAAGACCACCATGACACCCTAACTGCGGGACACCTGGGAAGGCTAAAAACCTACCAATTAATTAAGAAGTCCTATTGGTGGCCAGGAATGATGAAACAAGTAGAAGAATACGTGAAAGGATGCGCAACATGCCAACAAGCTAAAGTAAACACACATCCAACTACTGTACCATTGATCCCAAATCAAACACCAAAAACCACAGAACCAATGAAGTATCTATCTGTGGATTTCATAACAGGCTTACCAGAATCAGTAGGATACGACAGTATAATGGTCGTGGTAGACCAAGAATTTAGTAAGGGGGTAATCCTCTTACCTTGTCATAAAACCATCAATGCACTTGAAAACGCACAAATCTTCCACGATTCCGTCTTCAAACAGTTTGGATTACACGGTAAACTCATATCCAATAGAGGACCACAGTTTGCCTCCAAAGTATCTAAAGAACTCTGCAAACTCCTGAACATCAAAACCGCACTCTCCACAGTGTATCATCCACAGACGGATGGACAGACGGAACAATTCAATCAAGAACTGGAGATCTACCTCCGCATCTTCTACCAGAACCAACTGCACAGCTGGGAAAAATACCTTACGACCGCCAAATTCTGCCACAACCAACAACCACACTCCACTAATAACCAATCACCATTCTACCTTCTCATGGGATACGAACCCCAAGGACTCCCGACTAAATACTGATCCACAAATATCCCGCCAGTAGAAAAACAATTATCTGAACTACTTAGGGCAAGGGAGAACACCCTAAAAGCACACAAACTAGCGAGAAGCAAGATGATGAAACAAACAAACAGAAAGTTCACCAAATTCTCTAAAGGACAAAAGGTGTGGCTAGAAAACACCAACCTATGGGAGAAAGCTACCGAATACAAGAAGTTCAACATGAAACACATCGGACCTTTCCGCATCCAAGAAAAGATTTCCCCGGTAAACTACTGATTATCCCTGCCTCCCCATTGGAAGATACACAATGTTTTCCACACATCCCTCCTAACCCTGTATACCGAGATTGACACCCACGGTCTGAACTTTACCCAACCACCACATGACCTTATCAATGAAGAAGAGGAATACAAAGTAGAGAGTATTCTTAGGCACAAACCCTGGAAACGCGGATGCTGTTACCTGATCAAATGGCACCATTACTGTTACAATTGACATACCAGCATCTACTTACGCTTCACTTTTGTACTTCTACTTTTATTTTCCAAGTCACATGACCAATCATGTGACCATTTACTTTACATTACATTTTCAACTTTTCATAGTCACATGACCAGTTATGTGACATATCACCTGACCAGTGTCTAGACTCATCATGTGACCGGTCACATGCTAGACATCGGACTTTGAACTTTATTTACAACTGTACAGTACCTCATGTATTTTAGTATATATACAAGAGCAATACATGGGGAAGGACTCAGCAAGTCCTCCTGTTGTCTAGCACAACTAACTCACTGCAGCCTAAGGGGTAACCACTCCCCATCATTTTCTTTATAGTGTGTTCCTGTGTGCGCCAGAGTAAATAACTCTTGGTCGTTACAATTACCCTCATTCTGAAAACTCATGGGAACCGGTGTCATGCACCAAAGTTGATTGGTAGCATGGACAGGTGTCAATAACGAAGCAAATATTCAAAAAGACTCACCTTTGCGCCACACAGGCACAGTGCCACGTGGAATAGTAATTAATATTGCCTGTTTCAAACTTGTGGCTGATCAGCACCACCTCTATTAGGCAATCCAGTCACGCTCACCTTTGCTTTTCCATTCGGTACTTTCCGCATTTCGGCAAATTTTTGCGTCGCCACTGGCTACACATTGCATTGCACCCTCGCTTTTGTCGTTTCCCTTACTCCCCTTCCTTTGCCTAGCCCCACCATGGGCCCCTTCCTCTCCTTTTTATTCTCACCTGACAGTCGTTTCTGGATCCCCATTCTAATCCACTTTTCCGTCACCTCCACCCTCCTCCTCCTCATCTTATTTGCACCCCCACCATTTCTGATGTCACCACTTTCTATCCGCTTCCGTCGCCGATCCGTTGACTACCACGTGCCACTGCTGATATCAGCAAAGCCCCAGCGGCCGGTTCAAATAGGGCAACAGGTCCATCTTTATGACGTCGATCTACCATTATATACTATCAAAACATCGGTCGCTCATCTCGCCTGGTTGGAGCGTGGGTGGGTAGTTTTTGAGCTGGAGAAGGTTCATCCCCTTGTGTCGCCCATGTTCATCGCTGTCCCATTCACTTGGGTACACTTATCTTTTGTCCATCGTCTTCGCTACAGCTACACCTATCACATGCTGCCTGGGACTCACTTGTTCCAAATTGGAACTACTCCTCTCCCTCCCTCGTTTGATCAGGTGGTCCAACACAACCAGTCCATTGGTAAGGCCATGGAACTGTCAGATTTGGACTAGGTGGTGGACCGGTGGCTCCAGTTTCTTTTTCTTCAGCAGAACATTCATTTACAGTGCAATTATTTTTGAATTTTGAATCATTTTTATGGACACATACTTTTTAGAATGCCTGACTGACAATAAAGGAACTGTGTTGATACTGATAGTGTTTTGCCTTGCCTTTTTTTACTGCATCTTCCCATGACATCATGATTTTCCTGCTCTCTTTTTGCTATTGGACTTTACTTTATGGCTGTACAAACCTGTGACATTACTCACAGCATTTATTGTTCTATCCCTTTCTTTTCCTTTTTTTTGACAATCTTATCCTGTACTACCTACGCAGGATTCGTCAGCATACATTCCTTCCTTCATATTCTTTCTCATTCTTTTTGCATAGCTATACTGTGCATAGCCTACTTTTCTTTTACTATATAAACCCCTGTATTTTACCTTGTAAAACAACAAGAACTCCAATCCAGACTTCTTCTCTAATCTCAAGTTCATTACTCTCTGCTACTTGTGATCCAGTGTGGTCACAACACTTCCCACTTCTACCACTGTCAACTGCTGTCATCGTCACTTCCCACTTTTGAAGTCATTGTTATCCCCTTCGATTAGAGTCCTTCTGAGCACTACAGTTTGTGCGTCAGGAGCCTGCTATCACTGGGAACCTCGTCATATTGTTGTTCTCAAACCTACCTTGTGCTACGATTAGCAAGGTAGTGCTCGTCTATACTCGTCACCAAGCCCCTATCCTTCTATAAATTCAACTATCCCTCCTCCTCAAAACCCACACTCATACACCTCTGGGTTTTACTTTGAAGGATCTTTATATGTACCACCCCACGAACAACCAGACCACTCCACTGTTCTAGGAGGCAAAGCCCATAAACAAGTTCCGTGGAATCTGGGAGGATTGTGTGTTAGTTTGTTTTGTGTGTGGTTTTCTAACTGCAGTTCTCATCATCGACAACAACACTTGAGGATGAACTCCTCGAGTGGGCAGACGGACGCAGCAAGGGCATATTTTGAATTAGGCGGGAGGACCTTGCTAACAGAAGCGTGCACGCAGATAGAGCAAGACGGTTGTACAAGTACTCCTCCACCCGGTTTGTCCCACCGGTCCCTGTTGTACCCAGATTGGACCAGTGTTACCCCAGAGCGCACTTACCACATTGTCACCCAACAACCTTCGCCCACCCAGTTAGCGGAAAAGTGCAGTCCCACCATCCCAACCAGCCTGATCTCGCAAGAGTCGAGCCCCTCCAGTCCCCATTCCACTGGGTTGAACCCAAAACCACATCCACCCCAGTTGCCTTCACCTCAACCAGTACCAAACACCCAAACATGTTGTCTGACAAACCGACAAGGAGCCCGACATGGCCGGCAAGAAGTGATACTCCAGATCCCTACCAGCAGAACTCCATCAAAATGACAATCTTGTACATCAAAAAGTCCAAAAGACAGTCCACCTGGCGCAACGCACAGGCCTGAGGTGGGCTCTCCCTCTAATCCAATCAACATAGATGATGCCGACATGATCAACCAGTTGTACGCAGGAACATATGACTTGGGAGATGATGATCCCCCTACTCCCCAATCCAACACCTCGTCCAACACCAGACAAAAATAACACCAAGGTGTTCACAACAACGCTCCTTACTGCCAAAACTGCGGTTGGAGTGATCATTGCACATATTACTGCAAAGCCTACTACTGCCCCGACTGCGACCATTGTACACCAGGACATAGTTTCAACTGGTGTCCTATTCGTAGGGAAAACAAACATAGGATTCTAATGGAGGGGTTACATGGAGATGTCAGCTACGATGATAGTTACAACATGGATGGCGAAGGTACCAAATTTTGGTGAAACTCGGAGCAAGTAAGGGGGTAATGTTACAATTTCTATTCTCTTTTACGGACTACTCATTTTCCTTTACTCATTGGTTATACCATCAGACCGATGACTCATTTCCTTCACATATATTTCTGTTCTCTTTGCAGTCGCATTACTTTGTATAGTACTCAGTCCTCAATGGACAGACAGACCCTGGATAGGACCTAACTCCTATCACCAATTCTATCTCCTATAAATATGCTTGTAAAGAACTCTATTCAGAACTACATTCTCAAACTTGTCTTCAGATAAGTGTCTTTGAAACCTCAACGAACCCTCAGACTTTGTTAAGCACTTCATGCGTAACAGAGAGATGGTTCAGTGATGTGTTTATTCCTGAAGCCAGCCCTTGCTGTGTCAACAACAAACCTATTGTACTGACCCTTGACGGCCATAGCTTGCATGAACAACCCACCACCCAAAAAATTGCCTACAACCACAATATCATTATTTTTTGTTTCCCCTCAAAAACTACGCATAAATTGCAGCCTCTTGATGTTGTTGTCTTCTTGCCAGTTCAAAGGAAGTGGGCTACTCACACCAGCCAACTTGCTCTTGATGGGATTCTTATTGACAGGTATAATGTTGTACATGAGTACATGAAAGTTCACACTGTTGTCACGCCAGAACTCATCTGCACGGCCTTCAAACAGACGGGGATTTACCCTTTCAACCCAAATATATTTACTGATGACAACTTTGCCCTGAGCCATGCAACCTCAACCTATGCACACTTCCCTGAGTCCTATCCCAATATCACCATGTCAAGCAACGAGTCCTATCATCCCTCCGACAGCAGCAATGAGATGGACGAGTCAGTGGGTAGAATTAGTGAGGATGAGGATGAGATTGATGATGAGGACAAGGACAAGGATGGAGATGAAGAAAACAAGGATGAGGATGGAGATGAGGATGAAGAAGACAATGGAGAAGATGAAAAAGAGGATGGTATCCTCTTCCCCTCTCCCTCCCTCAGCTCCTCCACTCAATCTGACCTCCCTCTTGAGCTGATAAAATGGCCCCGCCTGTCAGAATCACCTGCACACTCTGTAGAGCCATCTTCTTGCCCATCTCCAGGTTGCTCCCCCTCCCCACTTCCCTCCCCACTTCCCTCCTTGCTTTCACGCATTGCTTGCCCATCTCCAGGTTGCTCCCCCTCCCCACTTCCCTCCTCACTTTCACACATTGCTGGCCTCGATCTCCCAGGAGATTTTGGTCAAGTCTATCAACCTGGTCCAGTGATGGCTCCATCTCCATCTCCCTCTCAACTTGGGCAGGACATCCTCCCCTTTCCAACGCCTTCTGAGGTTGTTCATCCATGCACTCTCTCTTTGTCCGGCAGAGGACATCAGCGCCAATATTATATGAGCTCCTCCTCCTCTCTGCGGTCATTGAACATAGTGTTTACAGATTGGCAAATGGTTAGCGTTGAATAAGATCAAAGAAAAACTCACCAAAAACTTCTCACCAAGCTTGTTTCAACCCAAACACAGCTCAATCTTATTGAGCAAGACCAAGCACAGCTTCTGGCTACATGCCAGAAGCTAGAGGAGGATTTAGGCTGGGTGCAGGCAAAAAGAGACACCGCAAATGCCCATTGCACTATCATCTCCCATGTGGTTGAGGAAACATGCAAGCAGCTGGGAGTGGTGATTCAGAAGAAGCAGTGAGGGACAGAAAAAATCAAGGCTCAGTTTGTTACTCACCTGCCTTTAAAGGCACATTTTAATCAGGAAGAGGCCAAGCGCAGCAAGAAGGCAAAGGAGAGGGCAGCAAGTGATGCACAGAAGGTCGTGGATGAGGCCGTCCATACTGCACACATTCACAAGGATACTGTGTCGAAGAATTTTGAGAAGCCCCTGTTATCTTACAAACGCAAGGACGATCTCATCACAGATGCTGGGGCCCTGCAACTGTCAACCACTGGGACGGTCAAGGAACTCGGTCAAGGAACTCCTCACTAGGATTAAGATATACCTGGATGAGCACAGGGAGCTGGCAGGCCAGCCTCACTTTGCTGGATTATTTGGCCATTGTGCCTCAAATATGTCTTCCTCTGCAAGTGGGTCCAGCTCTTCTTCTGCCATCTCTTTGCCTTCACCCCACTCTCCCACTTTCCCCTCAGCACAATCTGTGGTGTACTTGCATGCATACTCCCCCCAGCCCCCCCAAATTACTCAGCAATACCCCTCCTCATACATGTCCTCCCATGCACCCCCCTGAGTTCTGACATTTTTCCAGGTCCAAACAACAAGCCCGGTACCATTTATTACAGTCCAAATGATCCTCAAGGCCGTATGTGGTTATAAATTTGTATATAGTTCTCCATCAATACATGTGCTTTTCTCAAATTTTGTGTGATAAAAAGTTGATATATTCTATTACAATTTTCTACTTCAATTCCTACTACTACTGAGCTGGGGACTTAATCAAATTTTCTGCTCTTGATAGTGCCAAGCAGGGTTTTAACACGGCTCCTGTGACATCCGAATAGCCCCCCCCCCATCCAAACTAACAGTTAATAACAGTATGGTATGGATTGTATATTCTAACAAAAAAAAAGAAGGCTATGCACAGTATAGCTGTGCAAAAAGAATGAGAAAGAACAGGAAGGAAGGAATATATGCTGACAAATCTGGTGTAGGTAGTACAGGATAAGATTGTTAAAATAAGGGAAAGAAAGGGATAGAATAATGAATGCTGTGTAGGTAATATCACAGGTTTGTACAGCCATAAAATAAAGTCCAATAGCAGAAAGAGAACAAAAAAATTATGATATCATGGGAAGATGCAGTAAAAAAAAGGCAAGGCAAAAATAATATCAGTATCAACAAAGTTCCCTTGTTATCAGTCAGGCATTCTAAAGAAATATGTGTCTATAAAAGTGATTCAAAAATCAAAAATGATTACATTGCAAATGAATGTTCTGCTGAAAAAAAGGAACTGAAGCCACTGGTCCACCACCTAGTCCAAATTGGACACTTTTATGGCCTTACCAATGGTCTGGTTATATTGGACCACCTAGTCAAATGAGGGAGGAAGAGGAGTAGTTCCAATCTGGAACAGATGTGTCCCAGGCAGCGTGTGGTAAGTGTAGCTGTACTGAAGACAATGGACAAAGGATAAATGTACCCAAATGAATGGGATGGCAATATACATGGGCAACGCAAGAGGATGGACCTTTTCCAACTCAAAACTACCCACCCGCATTCCAACCAGGAGGGACAAGCAGCCAATAATTGAATAGTATGTAATGGAAGATTGATACCATGAAGATGGACCAGCTGCCCAATTTGGACTGGCCACTGGGGCTTTGCTGATATTAGCAGTGGCACGTGGTGGTTGACAGATTAGCAACAGAAGCGGATGGAAAGTGGTGACATCAGGTGTGGAGAAGGTGCAAGGATGATGAGTAGGAGGAGGGTGGAGGTGATAAGGAAGTGGACTAGAATAGGTATCCAAAAATGGCCATCTGGTGAGAAGATAAAGGAAAGGAGAGGGCCCATGGTGGGGCTAGGTAAAGGAAGGGGAGTAAGGGAAATGATAAAAGTGTGGGTGCAATGCAATGTGTAGCCAGTGACGACGCAAAATATTTCTGAAATGCTGAAACACGGAAAGTACCAAATAGAAAGCAAAGGTGAGCACAACTTGATTACCTAATACAGGTGGGTGCTGATCAGCAACAAGTTTGAAAAAGGCAATATTAATTACTATTCCACTTGGCACTGTGCCTGTGTGGCGCAAAGGTGAGTCTTTTGAATATTCACTTCATTATTGACACCTGTCCATGCTACCAATCAACTTTGGTGCATGACAGCAGACAACTATCTAGTGAGGAGGAATTGTATGTGAGGGGAGTGTACCATAAGGTCTGACTACGGAATCCATAAGGAATATGAAAATATGCGGAGGAAAGCATATGGTGGACTAGAAGTCCAGAGCAGTAGAATTGGAGGGGATATGCAGAGTACCATGTGGAAGCAAGGTACAGGGCTATGCCAAATGGCAGAGCATGACGGGCATAATTCTGAGAATACCAAGAATTTGGGAGTTCAGACTTGGGGTCTCCTGACTGTTTGGAGGTCCAGAAACCATAGCCTGTGGTATGGATATGACAAAAGCAGAGAACAAAAGAGAGTGGCTGAGAATTGTGAACTGTAAAATATACAATCTATTTCCAATGAAAATTAATCCTATATTCAATGAGAATAGTAATAAATATGCTGGCTCCACATGGTCTACATAAATTAGCCTGACAAATAGTAAGTAGGGCAGTAAAATAGATTTCCTTTAGGATAGAGGTTATATTAGCATTTACAAGAGCAGATATGTTTTGGGGCAGCAGTGCACTATCTTACCATAAAGGACAGCAAGTGTCCCTATTTGGGATACCTTTCTTTGATATGGTGATGGGGAGGCTCACAATGAGGCCCGGAAGTGTTACGATACACAATTTTCAGACCTTTAATTTTCATTCTCCTCTTTAACTTTATACTGTAATTTTCACACATTGTGCCATGCAGCACTTTCCATTTTGTTCAAACTCCACCTTCTCGCGCTACACTGCCTTTATTCTCATTTTAGCCACAAGTCTCTCACACAGTGGAGCTGGTTACACGGGCTGCGCCCTCTGACATCATCAGCCACTGCTTTATCAACTGTATAGTACAACATGTACAAACAACCTGTAGTAGTATATATACCTCAATAGATCCAGGAGACTCTTTAGCGAGTCCTCCTGTTGTATACCCACAACTAACTCGGTCCTACCTAAGGGGTAACCACTCCCTCATCACTACCTTTATAGTTTGTTCTAGTTGTGCGCCAGAGTAACTAACTCTTGGTTGTTACAGAAAGAGCCTCCCACAAGGCTCAAAGACACACAAAGAGGGCACAATTTTGGTGTATTATAGCACTGATCATTGTAATATGGAGATATTCTCCACATATATTTATGTAAATCATTGAAACAATTTGAGGATTGAAAAATATATTGGGATTTAGGGGACCCTCTTCAGAGAGGTGATCTTTCAGATGGGTTATTGCTAACATAAAAACCCCATCTGTAAGACTTGAGAGTGTCTTGAAAGTGCCGCTAGGGATGATTATTCCCAGGGGCTCATAACCTATAGAACTGTACAACAGACTTAGTGTTAAAGAACAATGACTGAGTCCTGAGACTCAGTCAAAAGTGACAAGAAGCTGTTGACAAATTATGACATTTGTTTATAGTATGAGAAAACATGCATTGGCCAGGGCTTGAACCTGGGACTCCAGCTTTCATGGTCTGGTGCTTTACCAACTAAGCTACCAAGGCATACTTGGAAAGCATACTGATTGGTTGCATGCCCAGAAGGTCCAGAATCACTGTACACGGGTGCGGATCCCATTGTGTTGTGATAGCTGTGAGTGGCAGGTAGAGGAACCTAGTAGTAGTAAATTTTGCCTTTATAAGCCACTAATTCACAGCCAAAATCTCGACGAGACTCTACAAGAGAGCTATCAATATACAACCAGATCAAAGGCCTCTAAGAGCCTCTAATTTCACACTTTCGTAAATAGTTGTCAGTAGAGCTACTTAGAGTCTGCTAGAGACGCTTAAAAATGACTGGATTGCTGGTAATAGTAAAAACGAGAGTGTACATCAAAAAAACTAGCTAGCGACGAGAGCTAAGACATGCAAAAAGACAGGGAAGAGATAACACGGTGGATTAATGATTAGTTGATAGGTCTTGCAGGATATTGGTAGTGTAAAGAGGAAGGAGGGAGAGACACAGTATCGCACTGTGCAGTGGAAAAGCCATGTTGCATTTGTACTCTAGTCTTTGCTGGTCTCACCTTCCGGTGCAGATGGGGGTGGCGACCTGTTTCTTCATCAGTTTCATCATCTTCCTCGCCTATGGTCATACGATAGTGCCCGGAACCTATTGTTGCAGATGGCACAGTGCTGGGAATGGCTGGTTTGGGGGTGGGTGTGGTGTGCTCGCTCGGCTGCTGTGTGGATTAGGGATAGTTAACAAGGTGTATGTATGACTTTACGCACCGAAAAGTAGCCAAAATCAAAATCATCATTGATCTCATCCGGAGCAGTTTGGAAGAGACCACCCGAAGCTGCTCATGCTGTTGGCCGTCTGGTGTATCTGGGGAGATAGGGGTGGTCCTTCGGGACAGAGTGCCAGCTGTGCGAGCCTTGCGACGTTTACAAGGCGGAGCACGAGCTTTCAGTGCGATGCCAGCTTCTTCTCATAGCTCTCGCAGTGAAGGTGGGATGGCAGTTCCCTCGTATTTGCGGAACTTCTCGTGCCAGTGAAAAGTGCCCCAAGAAACCTTTGTGAGAACGCCCTTGCAGTGTCTTTGGCAGTCACAAAGATACTCTTTTGCCATATTGAAGGTAGTATCACAACACAATGGGATCCGCACCCGTGTACAGTGATTCTGGACCTTCTGGGCATGCAACCAATCAGTATGCTTTCCAAGTACGCCTTGGTAGCTTAGTTGGTAAAGCACCAGACCATGAAAGCTGGAGTCCCAGGTTCAAGCCCTGGCCAATGCATGTTTTCTCACACTATAAACAAATGTCATAATTTGTCAGGTAGATGTTGCCTTGATCGATAGAGAAAGCTCGAAGGGAGGGAAGGGTATCACAGGAAGGGATATCACAGAGAGGAAGCAAAGCTAGTAAAGCATACAGAGCTATGTGCTTTGTGTGCTTTGCTAGCTTTGCTGCCAGAATACCAATGGACGAAGCTGGAAAACGAAACGAAACAAGTCGAAAACGGATCAAGCATGTGTCATTATGTTTGGTCACAACCAATTGTATTTGGTAGCGCATTCATGCACTATCCGCGTTTACTTCACACTCACAGCCTCTACATACTACTCACAGCCTCTTGTCACTTTTGACTGGGACTGAGACCTGAGGTTTGATAACAAAATGCGACGAAAGATAAAGGATAGGTCATGTGACCAAGAAGTAAAAATGACGACAGTGAAAAAAGAGAATAGTGACATCATATTGTTGAACGCACTTCAACATAAATTTAGCTGACTATTTGTAGATTCATTATCGATTTCTATCTCTCAGGCTCCCACCCATGAGATATTGTAAGAAAGGATGGATTTATCCTAGGGAGCGTCACGGAGATGATATGTCGAGTTTAATGTGGTTTATACAAATCTAATTGGATGTCGTTATGTTACTTCTTAGAGTCGCAGCTGCCCCGCTCTGAGCTTGTCGTTACATCATCCTTCATAGATGCGTAGGCCTTCAGAGCAAGCCTAGAAGTAGTAGTCGCATCACTGGCGAATCAATCAATGTGACCATGAGCAATCGACTTACTGTTGAAGAGCTATCGCCTAACACGAACGGATTAATCACAATTTCTGTACTCTTTGTCCTAGGGTAGATAATCAACCTAAGCTGTGAATAGAACATGCTTTGTAATAATGGTAGTGACCTAGGATTATATATGAGGCATCACGGCGCGGCATAAATACACAAATGTAACCTTATACTCACTTCCTTGCTCTTCAACAAAATTCACAATCATGGCTGATGGGCGGCTCGGAAGAAATTCATAAATTACCACGATTTCGTATTTTGTTTCGCCTCATGTCATAACACGTTTCCCCCAGATTTAACGATTGGGTTTCTGTGCCGCGGATACAAAGCCTCCGAGGCAAGCTGAACAAGTCGACTAGCGGAGGAAAACGAGACTGGATGCAATGGCTGTCGGATCTCGAGGAAGTATTCTGATCACGAGTGCTGAGTTCCTAGTAAGGTGCTCAAGTTGGCGACGGTGTCCCACATATGACGGGATACGAAACATATCGGATTATAGCAAGCCAAGAGTGCACGGATGGGGTCAACGATATACCCCGCGGACAGCGGTGAAATCTGCCCCTCTCTGTCGGTTATATCCAAGCCAAATTGAGGGCGATGATTCAGCAATAAAGGTGGAAAGCTTGATTACCTCGTCCGCCCTCGGAGAATGTAAATGTCCAATACAGCAGAAGGCGTCCAGCTGTGCCAACTAGCGGTGTTCAAGTGGCGACGGCAATTACTCAAGAGCACATTGAGGGCAAAACTTAAGGCAATACTGGAACTCCAATCACTGCATCATTAAAGAGGAGCTTGAGCGGATGCGCCCGAAAGCAGATTACACACCTCCTGAGCCAATTAAAACGATTAAATTTCCGCCATTGGTTAACATTGGTTCCTGTAATTATTTCAGTTCACAAAAATGTCAACAAAAGTGATGGGAGACTCGGAGCTTACTCTCAGGTCAGCACCAACGTACAGCGTACAGGGATATCAACAGCCGAAAAGGAGTAAGTAGCTAAATAGATGCCGAGGAATGCTCACCTTTACGTGTAACGGAAGATTTGGCTACACATGACAATAAGATTTTCGAATCCACAGTGTGAATCTTTCGTTAACACAAAAGTATGGCGAGCGTACACAGAATTCTGATCCCGAAATGCAGAAAAAATCCTTAAGAGTGAATCATCGAAAAGGACTGGGAAATCGATTTGGCAATTTCGTCCACCTGCAAAGTATTGACAATGAGTATTACATGCTGCACAAGGTATACATCGCCAAGGAGTCACGTAACTTGAGGCCATACCCAGTCACCAATAGCAGGGTCGTATCCAGTCAGCTGAACATCCTATAAAAATATCCCAGGCGGCAAACATCCCAGAACCGACGTTATTACCACTACCAAACCTATTCGTGCCGCACGACGTAAATTCCGAAAGAGGTGATAGGCACTAAATTTGCATCCTGTTGTAAGGTTTTATTCCCCCGAGACAAACCAGAGCAAACCCAGGAGTCATACTCAAGGCTGTTCAACTGATGGAGCTCCGCTTTCAATAGTAAATTCGAGTCAGTCCCTTCGGGGCAATGAGCGAAAGTATATATCTAAGACCTTCCATCGGGACAATGTCATGACTCACGGATATCTGCTGCCCATGCCATATCAAGATGGCGGCACACTTGGTTGCAGGACAAACACTGGGATTATAAAACCTTAGGATATATATCATATATCCTGATTCAAATCATCAATCGTCGAGATGGGACCATTACACTGTATAGAATGGAGTAGTCATTAAAAATCTGGTCGAGAAACATTTTGATGGACTCTACGGCTGGATGTACAAGCACTTTGATCATGTGGAGACAAGCTTCTAGTCGTGCGATTATTCTTTGCTTTGCCGCCGTGATAATTTCAGTTGTTGGCGGGTATATGTCTCTCCACTGAGAAGTTGTTCTAATACCGCTCGCATGGCAGAGCTCCCGCGGATGACACTCTATTTAAACTACATAGAAGTCTGTTCAAATAGTTATATCTTACTGCATATCCAATTGCGACTTACAGCAGATTTCTGATTCTCTCGTGAATTCATGGAAATTTTACGATAGTTCGCGAATTCGGGGGTGAAAGTTCCTGTAATCCATCCCAAACACTTTGCAGTCAGTGTCGACTATTCGTAACGGAAAATAAAGGGCTATAATCGTGATGGTCATATGAAGTGGTGACTGGGAGAGGAGTGTGCTTTGCTATGATCACGTTCCTGCAGCGGGCAGCCTGGGATTTTGGTTGCCGTCTTGTTGAATAATTACCGTCAAGCGCCGAGTACGACATGGATGGCAAGGAGTTTCTAAGGTTCTTTTGGACTTCGATGCGGTTCTCCTCAGAATTCCCAGTACAGACACTTTGGTACTGCAAAACCACACGCGGAGCTTGATAGAACGCTATCAACCAGGGTTGCCACTTACAGTGATGCGATACTACGACAGGACGATGACCGGTGACCGGTGTCGATGGCCACTGATAAGCATCATGTCTCGGATATCATTATGGGCGCAATTAGTGCTTTATGTAGCGATGAAGCAGGGTGAAGCCTGTGCAGTGGTGAGCTGAAATTGTTTTTCCCCCTTCTCCATCACGTTCATGAAAGTTTCTCTCTCCCACATGCCTTCTTTTGGTGCTAATAGTAGCTACGTCCTACGCATTTACCCATAAGATACCACCCCATTTCCATCATAGGGGTACTCCGTCGACCGTTATGGTTGGAGAGCTACTGATAATCACCTTCTAGCATGTGCAATTTTAGACGCAACTTCGTTTTCCCGTCCAGACACCGATTTCGGAAGTGAGTTCATGATAGTTTTTGTTCGCTACTTATCATACGATTAGCCTGACTGCCTTTTGTTTGCCATAACGATCAGCACTGCACGAGTTTCGATATGATCAAGAACTTCATCAAGAGTCTCACTCAATTGTAGTACCTTTGTGATGCGGCATCGGACCGCAAGTCCACTGCCGTCGCATGCTTAAATGTTCCTGTCCTTGGAACTACAACAAGTCTGCGAGCATCGCCACTTTGTTCAGCATATGGTTTTACAACTACATCCCCTTTCCACTTCCACTGTCGGCAAATGAAGACCTTGCGTGAAGGCACATGGCGCTATGACTCCGCCACTGTCCTAGGATCTTCGCTTCACAGCTATTCAATCAAGGTCATCGCCGCACTTTCAAACTTCGAGGTTGAAAAGAGGCGCTTCTGATCGATATCATTCATTCTACTTCTCGGTTCCCGGCCCCCAATAGTGAGTCCCCCTTGTGACCTTCTTTTCATTCTCTAAGAATCTAGACCGCTACGCGATACTATATTCTCCATTATTCAGAGCATCTATATTTCCTTTTTAGCGACATCTAAAATTGACGTTATTATTATGGGATGATGAGGCTGCGAAACGTCCCACAGCGATGCATCCTTGCGCCTCGGGAACTCTTAAACAAGCTGCCTGGCAAAAGCTGTCGACATTACCCCTGTGGGATATATATATTGTAACCACCGAAAGGGATCATAATGAAATGTATCAAAAATGGGTCTGCTGTTTACAGTTCCTATCATTTGATAACGTCTACGAAGAATAATCTTTCGTATTTTCTCATGAAGCATAAGACAATGGGTTCTGTGAGCCTATCACAAGATTGTCCGGGATGAAAGCGTGCTTCTCGTGACTCCTTTGTGTGCTTGGCCAAACGATCGCGCCAATTTCCAGGATAAAGAGAGGCTGCTTCAAGAACACCTGCTGCTGCGGAAGTCGAGTATCTCGGAACTAATACCGGTACACAGTCACCTTACCGTCTAGACCCACGGGGGAGCATACGAATTGTTCGTGATCGGAATAAGTCCCTGGTCTGGAAGTCACCCTGTTTCCAACACGTATCTCTTGCCATTCCGCGAGACTGATCCAAGTTATTGCCTGAATGAAGGCTACACTGGCGCCGCATTGCTGAGATTTACCGGTCAGATGGTAGCAGCTCATAAACATATAAAAGCTTACTAGCGGTTGCAGATGAGCCAATATATCCCAGCCCTTGCGTTTTGTTTTTCTCTGCACTTATACCCGTTTTCTTTACGACCCTTTTTGACGACCAGTTGACGTTGTTTGTGGTAGGTTCGTTTCTGCTTATGTAACCAGCCAGTGTGCTCAGTCTCTTTGGATTTCTTTGCGTCCTAACTTCCTTCCACCCTCCTTTCCATTTATCCTCCACCACCACAATGGCTTCATTTTTGCGACGATTCACCACTTCAGCTTCGGCTGCTAAAACTCCAATGTGAGCCACTTCTTTTATTAAGAGGTTTGAGCGGATGCTCACATTCGTATCTTTGTAGGGCCAATGTATTTGTTAGTTTCCATACCTATTTTCTTCATCTAACACCGACAGCATACTCACAAGTCAGCTTTGTAGTTCGATGTCGCTATCGATTCAAAACCGTCTGGACGTATAATATTCAAACTTTTCGACGATGCTGTGCCAAAAACTGCACGGAACTTCCGGGAATTAGCTACCGGTCAGCATGGGTTTGGTTATTCTGGAAGCACTTTCCATCGCGTTATTCCCAATGTACTACATTTCTACTCCCCCAATCTCGACATGCGATGACTGACTATGCTTAGTTTATGCTCCAGGGTGGAGACTTTACTCGCAACAACGGTACCGGTGGAAAGTCGATATATGGGGAGAAATTTGCAGGTACGTGCTCTTAACAGAAATTTGATGTTCGCGTGTGCTCAAATTCATTGCCAGATGAGAATTTTACTCTTCGACACAACAAACCTGGTCTGCTGTCCATGGCTAATGCAGGACCCAACACCAATGGATCACAGGTCGGTGCACTCTCCCGTTCAAATTCTGATACTCACTCTCGCTTTATTCTAGTTCTTCATCACGACTGTCGTGACATCATGGCTGGATGGGAAGCACGTCGTCTTTGGTGAAGTACTTGATGGGATGGATGTGGTGAAGCAAATTGAAAAGCAGGGTTCGAGCGGTGGCCGGCCAAAAACTAAGGTCACCATCACCGCGTCGGGAACCGTATGAAGTTGTAAAGGCCACTTAGAAAACTTCATCATCGTTTAAAACCATGCGTAACTATTACAACAACTACAGAGGGAGTTGTCGATTCTTGGATTTACTTCATTTTCAATTCTTCATAATAGGGAATGGTTTTTTGTGGTAGATGACACCAACGACGCGTTTACAATTGCAGGGACAATGGATTGCCTTCAATATGATTTTTTTCCAAGGAAAACAGCAAATGTGAAGCAAAATGCGTGTGAAGATGATGTGACCTCTTCAAAGACTGATGCGATGTTGTTTCGCGGGATGCAAGCTTGAAAGGACCAGTGTCAAGTAACGAGCTCTGAATATGAGTGAGGGTTTACACTGAGACTGTCTTCTGGAAAGCTGAAGATGGTATTCCTTAGCCAGATTTTCGGATACAAGACAGGGCAGACTGATATACTTGAAATTTGCAGAAATAATGTGACCGGTTGAGAGGATTGTTAAACTGTCAATGGAGATTCTTGTTCATGTCTAGATGACCTCCGATGACTGCGATCTCTGAGTATGTAGGCGTTATATTGAGTGCCGACCTTGCTTCCTGATAAATAACTATTAGCTCTGACGAAGCAAGACCCTAACCCTATACTAGATCTAGTGACCCACTTCGAAACCGCCACGCTCGTCAGCAGCGGCCGGAATGAAATGTTACTACCACGATCACTACTATCGCCCGTTAAGCCTTTAAGGCCCCTGCGATAGGGTAGTTGTGACATATGTCTCTTTCTCTAGAACTGGAGGTTGTACAAATACAACCCGAGCCTGTGCCCAAGTGCGTTGGTTCAATCATGATGGAGTACTGTTATCAGCCGAACCTTACCTCATCTCATTCAGGATGGCGTACTCAAAGGGGATCTTGGTGTTCCCTGCAGAACTTCTCGAGAACATACTCATTATTTCAGCTTCGTGCGGCTGGCCAGCTTCTATTGCTGCACTCTCTCAAACCTGCAAATACTTATACAACCTGGTCTATCATGGCCCAGATAAGCGTCTCTGGCGCGAGATATTTCTTTCCACATTTGACGACCCAAGACCAGCTTTGGAGCATCTCAGGGCGCTTGATATCGCGCTACCAGACTCTGATGTTGACTCTTTCAACTGGGCGTTACAATACCAATCTCGGATTCAAACCAAATTGTACCTCAGAAGATCGACTTCTCTCCCCATAAACTCATCGTCACGGTCTGGTTCTGTTAAAGGTCGTCCTTTTACTCGTTCTATGGCAGCAAAAACTAGTCTGATTAGCTCCCCGGAACTAATATTGGTGCTGAAGACACTCCTTTCTGTTATCGCCACCTCGAGTCCCTTCCCTTCCTCTCCGACAATATCTTTTGTACCCGCCACTCCGTCTCTCGGCTTCAACCTGGCGGATGCTCCTCCGTTTCCCCCTATGATTCTACTACTTTGCTCGCAGCTTCCTTCTGTTGTAGGATGTCGCAATACTGATTGGCTCGAGGAAGTCCTTGCTAGAGGTTTTCCTGCCGAGCTCACGCGTACGCTGTTTGCAACTCTGTTTATAAATGTCCACGACACAACATCGTTCAAGCCCCGTTTAACATCTGCATCATATTGGCAGGGATCCGAGGTGGCCTACCTTTTCCACAAACTCGTGTCGTGCACAGGTTTTCTTCCTATCCTGGGTCCTAGATCTGAAGATGGAGACGTATCTTCTACCTTGTCTGAATTGCCTTTAGTCAAGAAACAATATGTTGACGCACGCTCTCTCGCGCGGAGGAGGGTTTATGATATGCGTTATCTCAGAGCTGATCGTTGCTGGGGCCCCTTCCTTCCCGTCGTCCGCAAAGATAATAATATTTCTTTACCATTAATGTCGGGGGCTTCCTATTCTCTTTTGGGCAGTGAATCAGATAGCGAAGACGAGGAAGAAGAGGATATTTCGCTCATCGTCGGTCGCATCACCGGACATGAAGGCGATCGCCCCGTTGAACTCAGCCCTCCGATCAGACCCGAAGAATTGCTGCCAGATTATGTTTGGCTAGCGTCTGCAAGGATTGTCCTAGAAGCCAACTTGAGAGAGGTATCTCGTAGGTCGCCTGACGACGAGGACTTCTCTCTTAGGGAGATTGTTCCTGCTTTGAGAAGGATGGAATGTTTGCGTATAGGAGGTACTCTGGAATATTGGAATGCTTGGAATGAAAAGCAGAGTGGAAATGGTGTAGGACCTAATAGTATGGATAATGGCAAAGGTAAGGCCAGGGAGTCGGATGGCGAGGGGTGGGACTGGGCTGGAGTCGCAGGTATCTGGAAGTGAGTCCACTCAGTTTTTCAAATTGATAAGTCACTAATAAGTTACTATAAATTTATTCGTCTAGGCGTTGCATATGTTGGCTCGACTATCGTGAATTGTTGAGTAAGTCTTCGATGTTCCGTTGTCTATCACCACGCTGAGAATTTGATCCTCTCATTACAGTCTACAACGTAAGCGCTTAGAACTTGGCTTGAAACTACCATTGACACTCCTGTGTGATTCTCAATTACTCAGCTGCCGGTGAGAGCCAATAGTTTTTTGGGTGAAAACATCCAAGAAGCTCTCCGAATTATCCCCATGACTGTGAAAGTCGTCGGATACTCCAAACCCCCGCCTGCACCTTCATCTTCATCACCGGGTGGTAACGAGCGGCGATTGCCCATCATACACGTCGAGGGTGAATCACGGGGGTCAGATTTGAGTTTGGAAACCAGTCGCTTCATGAAAGGAACGGTCAGTATGATCGGGGATGGCACAATAAGGTGGAGTTTAGTAAGTGCAGTTTCTCTTCTAGCCAGCCTCTACTGACGGTGTCCATCCACAAAGGTCTCTACTATTGCTGGTACAATCGAGCCAGAGTGGTCCTCAGAGGCGGTACAGATTGGAGGCCCAGGTGCTGCTGGAGGATTGTTGGGCATGTGGACGGGTGCACAGCATGAGAGACCGGACCCCTTAGGTATGTCAATTTCTCTGGATTTAGAAATACGTTATCTGAGTGCGCTACTCTCAGGTCCATTCTGGGCATGGAAAGTAGCGTGATAAACAGACTCTATCTGAGTCACTGGTAGCACACCAATGTAATCCATGAAATAGGCGTTGAAAACAGTTGTAACACATTGAACACGAAGTTTACCCCACTCGTCCTTTAGGAAGCCCTCTGAAACAAGACGCAAAGTAAAATTGGAGACACCTGAATCGCTTCCTGCTGGCTGACCCAACATCCGGGCACACTTGGGGTCACATACAACACATGAGTTTCATGATTTTTTTGTGATGCGCGGTAAAGTGTAGAGTGAGGGATACAACGCGATATGTAGATGAAACCATGATATGAATGTAGCACGGAAAAGTAAGGATATCGAGAGATATAATTTAGTCGAAAAGACCGAAACCCTGAGTTGAAAATACGATGAGCAACAATTTGTTGTACTGAAACATATCTACGCACCATGTCGTCGTCCGATTCTTCTTTCTCTTCCTCTTTCTTCTCCTCTTCTTTTGGTGCTTCAGCAGCAGCAGCACCGCCGGCGGCAGCAGCGGGTGCGCCAACGGCAGGTGCTCCACCACCTGCACCGACGTTCGACAACAGGTCTTTCACGTCTTTGCCCTCCAGAGCTTTAGCAAGCAGTGATGCCCAGATTGGCTCGATATCGACGTTTGCGGCAGTGGTCAACGCGAGGATTTTGTCAGACTATCAACAAAGAACGATTTCACTTTAGTTTTTTCGGAGCGTTACTCTGCGTGAATATAGAACTTACAGTAATTTCAATGCCATCATCGGCGAGGATTAGGGCGGCGTAAGTGGGTGCTTGCTCTGTGGATGCCTGAAACGTGGAGAAAGATACTGCGTTAGATATGGTTCATCGTGAGGGTATTTGCCACATCCATGCCCATCCCAATCCATCCATCACCGCAAAATCACGAATCATACGCATCGCGTGCATATCACTGCAAATGAAGAGCAAAATTCTCCAAACGAGCTTACCATTACTGTAGACAGCGAAACCAAAGTACGATGAGGATGGAAGTACAGATAGTATGAGAGTACAACGAAAACGCCACGCGACTATTGCCGGACAGTTCCGGACTCGCCGTCCAGTGTAACCCGTAACGCCTGTCACGCACTGACATATACGTTTTATAGTGTCCAAGTGAAGGGGCAGTGGTGTTAGTGATATTGTTTCAAACTTCATATATATTCTTCTAGCTACATTGCAATCATACAAAGATCGCCAATATGTTGTTAATATACATTATTCTTACCAGCTTATGTTCCAGAGGACCAAGTCCGAGTCGAATGAAAGCTTAGACATACTGGTATTAATGACTCGAACAACATTGCAAGCACCATAGAAGTTTGGTGGGGAAGTTCTCTAGTTTGCTTGATGATGATGATACAACATACAATATATATTAAACTTCTCGTACTTCATTGTAATCCAAGTGTTACGCCAGAGAAACTGGTCAATCCTTGGCTGGTTGAGACTGAGCTTGTATTTTTGCTTGCATGACATTGAGCAAAAAGGTCATGTTTTCTTGTTTCTTCTGTATTGTTTCCTGCAATGAGTCCAAGTTTGTGCGGATGTAATCCACCTTCGTCTGATAGTATTTAGATGCTTGCGCTCGAGACTGGAAAGGTAGCATCAGGATTGAGACTACCCCAAATGAAAGATAGAATACCTTCTTCACATAATAGCCGGTGCCCACATCGACAATGACGTTTTCTGTGTCATTCAAACGACCCGGGACGTACAAAGAGTTTGTCAAGGGGACGAGTATAGTTGTGCCTAGTGTCGGTTGGATCAGATAAAATCGCTCATCGCATGCATAAACTGACAAAGTTATACCTTTGTTCTGCGGCTTTATCTCACTCGCGTTCTCGATGCATGCTTTGAACTTGGCCTGTGCTTGCTTTAGTTGAGCAAATGAGTTGGTGAGATGGTTTAATTCCTGTGCGATAAAGCTATAAGCCTTTATTGGCCATGATATTACATGTCTGACATGCCTCTTCTAGCTGACGCTTAACATCGGACAGTTGTGGAAGATCCAAGTCGGTGACATTGATTTGCTGAGGTTGAGATGCAGGCGATGCCATGGACGTCAGACCTTCAGGAGGATGGCACCCTGTGACACGACGAGGTGACGAGATGTGACACCCAATTGTGGTCGTGCCCATTCGGTGTCTTGCCGGCGCATCTGTTACCTTGCTGGCACCTGCACAGGCTAGGGCAATCTGCCTTGTGTACGGCTGTGCTCGTTGTATTCTATCCACCATCACCACTTTCGAGAGCGGTTTGTAGATCCATCATGGACCGAGGACGAGTTCCTCAAGATATAAGTGAGTGTACATGTTCTTCGGCCAAAAGTATTATCTGAGCGCTAACCTTCTGTCTGATACTACCAGCTGCCATATTTCATGCTTCATTTCATCCCACCAAAGGAAATATTGTGGACTGGAGTCTTAAAGCTAGCGATGGTGTGTGAACTTCGTAACTAGTGCGACGACTTTGTTCTGATCATTGGGTTAACAGGCTTCAACTTGGATGGTGTCGAATTCAGTACCCTACCGAGCGGGCTACACTTAGTCGACCAGGATGTCGTGTATGTTCTCATTACACTGTGTGCTGTCTCACTTCTTACGCCCTATCTAGATACTTCACGAAAGACGGTCATGCGGGCGTCTGCGTTTTTCGTCGCCGTAAGACTACGGAACACGGGCAACGAGGCTTTCGTCTGTCATCTCTTGGTATTCTTCTTGTCAAATCCAATCGACCGCGGCCCTGGCGTCATATAACTGCGCTTCGAGTTTTGGTCGATTCTATCTACTCGAGCCTTGAAGACAGAGGCATCCTAGAACCAAACGATGCTGATTGGGAACCCGCTAGAAACTTCTTTGAAGAACGAAAAGTCCGGAGGGCAGACTTAGGTGGTGCAGGCGACTGGAAAGGGTGGAGTCATGAGCTAGATAATGTAAGAACTTTGCATACCTAGACTTCGTTACTCTAACCATGAGCGCTCTCATAGCCCGATATCGATTTTTCGGATTCTAACCCTACCTTCCATCTCCCTCATCTCCTTCGTATTCTAGGGCCTTCAGCGCTGACCCTATATAAACACGTGCTTGGGCGACGGCGGATCCTCATATTTACCCTACCACCTGTTGAAGCCGCATGTATACTTTGCCAGGCCGCAGCCGACATATGCTATCAAATCCAAGTTGGCGATGACAGCGAAGAGGGTACTTCCGGCAGTTATGGCAACACGCTGAGGGGCAAATGCAGGGAAAATACCAACGTTCTTGGTATGGTGACATTGAGTGATCTGGACAAATTAACCCAGGAAGGAAAGGCTGGTCGCGGATGGATTGCCTGTATGTTTCAACATTCGTTCTGCCTTCGTTCCGCAATTAGTTGTTGACGAGAAATTCTCAGGCACAACGGATGCTATATTTCTAGAGAAGCCATATTATTATGATCTTTTGATTGATTTAACGACATCGACACCTTCAAAGGCGTCGCGACCTACATTTTATCTATCCAAACCTGTTCAGTCGACAGGGTCACGAGGCCCTACTCACCGACTTTCAAGTATCCGATTCACCTGGAGCGATGTCAAACTGGTGAGTCCCACCTTCTTGTCATGTCGACTCAACTCAGCGCGAGTGCGTCCCTTCTCTATAGTGGAACGAACTAGATCGTCTTCTCCAGCTTGATGGAGCAGACCAATGTGACCGCGAATGTTGCTGCGCCTCCGGCGGAGCTAATGGCAAGTCTAAAGTCGTCTCACCATGGACAGATGCATGGAGAATATACGAGGACGTTTGCATTGTGTGTGCCGGACTTTGGGTTGGTTCGTGGAGGGGAAACTCGGCGATGTCATATTCGACAGGGAACGGCTCTATGGCAAACTGGGGTAGTGTGAGATTAGAAGGAGATGACGATCTATCGTTAGGAGGGACCTATGTGCGGAATGTTGGCATGGGTATCGAAGGAAGACCGAATCCGACCGGCAAAGGAGTGAGGCGATCAAGTGGTATGTCAAATTCCGGTGGGAGCTTGATGTCTCGAATGGATCGTCGCGAAGCATCTTCGTCTTCTGCCTTGACTTCTTCCTCAATGCCTGGAAGTATCAGCGCAAAGGATCTAAGCTCTGACGAACGGAGGGAGCGACAAGTGCTGACGACTATGGCTATCCTGCAGGCCTTCCATACAAACACCTGCTTCCAGCTATCGCGCCTAGCTAGTTTCTTACCTCCATCAGGACCCGACGAGCCAGTGGCTTCGCCTTCTTCGAGTTCTGAAATTAAAGTGGTATACCTGGCTCCGAAAGATGTGGTGTCCTTTGAGCTAGGGCCACTGAGCTCCCTGGACGCCCGATATTTGGAGTGGCTTGGGGACGAGTATGGTGGGAGGACGAGAGTTATTGTGAAGAGAGGGTGGAAGGACCTCTTCGGCGTGATATTTGGGTTCGGCTGACCACCCTTTGTAGTAAACTTTTCACCATCATCAAAGCACCCTCCTGTGCCATTATGTTATGGTGGGCAGCCGATCAGGGTTGCTGTGGTTGAACATGATAGCCAAAATTCTTTATTATTATTCTGACCACGTCGAAGCGATCTTGCTTTGCGATACATACCTACATCCAAGCTATGTGGTCATTGTTTTTGGCCTCATTATGGAGGAGCTTTGCCATGTCAACTGACGGCCGAGCATCGCTTAGTAAGCGGTTTCTGCTTTGGTCACATCCACACCGCAACTGCATAAGTACTGCGGTGGCGGAAGCACCGCCGCGGTGATTATCACACGAACACTGGCACGAACATCCTTACAGCGTCTTCTTGCCTTAAAATCATCTGTCTATCTTTGAGCAAGCACATTATTATCGCACTATCATGGCAGAGAGCAAGGTCAGTTGCAGTGCTTCATGTGGTTTTACGAGCCAGCCTAACGTTACGACTTCTGCAGGGGCCGACCACCGCCGCCACAGCGAGCAATAAGCTAGCCATGTCCCGTGCCCTGGGAGCAGCTTTCTTGAATCACCAGGTCGAACAGCTTGAGAAATCCGTCACTCGTGTGCCCACGGCGGGCAGTTGGCGTGACAGGCGTCAGTCTCCAGTCGACTTGGGACATACCAACAAACGTGGAGCTATCAACAACAACGCCAAGCGCTTACCTTCAGGCGGGAAGACCTCTAAAAGGGCCCCTGGGGAGGTGTTGGAAAAGGAGTTTGGTGAGATTAGGATCAGGCGTAAATCGAGCGACGAGTCCAGAGGGGATAAGGATGCGGACCTTGTGATAGTTGACGCCAGTGTCTTGGTTCATGCCCTCCATTATGTGAAGAAGTGGTGCCGAGAAGGGCGCGAGGAGGTGGTGATTGTTCCATTGGAAGGTAACTTTCAACTCTTCGACCACCAATTCATAGCCACTAAAACTTGGTAAAGCTCTCAACACGCTGGATCTGCTGAAGAAAGGCACCAGCCCCCTTGCTCAGCGCGCCCGTTCGGCTTCTAGGATTCTGGAAGCACAAGTGGGCACTAATCCGCGCATTCGAGTGCAGAGAGACGACGCCTTCGTTCTCTGGGATAATATCGACTTCAAGGACCCTGTGGAAGAAGATAAAGATAAGATGTCGACACCTGCCCATCTCTCAAGTTCTCCCGAGTGGGTCCGCAGGACGATTTGTTGTGCCCGTTGGGAAGTAGATCATGCCGGTGCAGCTACCGAGAAGAAGCCAAAGGTCGTTTTGGCAGTCTTGAACCCAGCCGCCCCTCAAGCAACTGTGCCATCATCTCCCGGCAAGGCTACTGATGGTATCTCACCCGAGGTATCCTCTCCTGTACCCCTTCCTGCACCCAATCCTCATACCCACAAACATGAGCCTCGTTCTTCAGGGATACTTGTTAGTCACTGGGCAGCACGTGCGAGAATCGACATGCTCGAAGTGAAGCCAACACCTCTTACTACTCCGTCTACCCCTCAAACGACCCGTGGCGGGGAAGACGAGGAAAAGAATAAGCGTCAAACAGGGAGAGGTAGGCGAAACTCACAGCATGTTATCCCCGGTCCCGGTGCAAATGGCGGTAGCGGCTCAGGTCTAGTGGAGCGGCCCCCCGCCGTCATGCAAATGATGGAAATGGTCGCTCAGCCCAGCAAAGTGGTCAGGGTCCTTGCGAGAGGAGAGAAATTGGAACCGGATCCATGATCATGGGGTTTTCTTTCCAGAGCATAAGGTGATAGTCTCTGATATTGGCAGGCTATTGGATAAGGCTGAACATATGCCCCGATAGACTGGACCGTGAAGACTATCTGCACTTGACTACGTTAGAGGATTGTTATTCCTTATGATCCCTCAAACTCTCCTGGAGACCCTTGGGGATATGCGGAAGAGCGTCACTGAACTTTTCCCGGAGTGCGCATTGCTGCTGCTCGCCTTGGCCGCCACCTCTTTCTGACCAGTCCCTGGATGTGGGCATTAGGTGGACTATCACCTCGTCGAGATCAATTCTGCCCTTTTAGTGGGACTTTTTACAATGACGGTTCATCTGAGCTACGGAACTATATTCTTCTTTCAAGTTGGAAGGGTGCTTGCTACCCGCGTCTTTTTAGACTCTGGCAAGCCACCTTTCCCTCTTTTCAAGCAATTAATTCATCTATGTCGAATTCCTCTATCCCTGATTTATGCCTTGTATTGGATTGTAATTTGGCCGCTCTGTAAACTTGTTTCAGACTGTATGACAATTTTTCCCCTTGATTTTGGAATTCGCTAACAGCCTCAGGTAAATAGGCATTTACTAACCGCGGCCAGACTCCTCGGATTAGGTACTTGAATTACTCTGACAAGTACTAATTTGGACCTAGTAATGGGTTCAGATTGAATGCCTTATCAGAAGAAAGTGATAGGAGCATGACAGGTGCTGATTGCATCCCAACGTTGAGTCTTGTTCGTAGTCAATTTACATGTCACAAACCAATGCCCATTATGTCACACTACATTTTCTCGAAAGGCGTTGACAGCAAGGTTGACTCATTTTCAAGTTATAGTAACCTTGACGACGGTGCCGCTTTGCCCGTTGTTTATTCTCAAGGCTGTTGCCAAACATGCTACAAGGTGTGAACACCGGACTTTCCATTTGGGGTTAGTGATTACGTGACCTGTCACGTCGGGTGACTCCACTGAGCTGTACATATTGTACTTAACGTCCGTGGCAGGCCTTCGGTAAAGGAGTCGTCGCCCTTCAGAAGGAGCACAGTCAGTTCTAGCTCTACTCGGATATATCTTGCTGACTCGTACTGCGATCGACGACAATCAATGCTCTTGGTTTAGCTCTAGCTCTAAGGTCATGGATCCAGGAATCTCAGCGTCCATGGGAATTCATTCCACCAAATAGGTTGCCGGATCATTTGTAAGGTCCTTTGAAAGTTAGTGGGTGATGCGGCGGCTTGGTATTTGCCGAATGGCATTGCAGTGCTGCCCTTTTTAAGTAGGTGCTCTTTCTTCCTCACAGTGCAGGTTCGACGTCGTCGACGGCGCCGTGGATTGTATATTCGCCGTTGCCTTATGACTGAGTTAGTACCTGTATTTGACAACACCCAGTTGGTTCGTTTACAGGCCTCTCGGTATGTTAGCGGTAAGTGTACGCAGATTACAGAATTTTGTACAGCTCACGAGCCTCACGATATCCTCAGCGGCTGGCTTAGTGGTATGTATATTAGTATATCATCATATTTTTATTAACTAACGTACTTTGTCTTTCTTTCTGCCCAGGTTTTACTTTACGATCATCTTCTTACTTTTGGCGATGAAGTGAGTTTGATATGGCCCGCCAAATTCTCTCTGCCAAAGGTCCTATTCCTCTTCAATCGATATGTTGTCCCTATAGCAATGATAATAGAAACAAATGGTATAACGACAACTGTTTTTCATCTTGCTGTGCATTGACACATTGTCCGCAGGCTTCAGTGGTGTAGCAACTCCTCTTCTGACAGACAAGGTATGTGCTGCTTTTCATGGTTTTGTATCGATACTAATCCTACATGTAGTTGTGGGTCACAAAGCAATAAGGTGCCCTTTGGCGGACTAACCTCTATGGCTCGACAGTTGCCAAGGCTGGACAAGTGCTATAACGTTCATTGGCATGATTTCAATAGCATCAGGGAACTGTAGGTGTCATTGCAGTAAAACCTAATCCTCGGTTTACTCATGTACACTATTCAGTGCTTGTCTTATTGCGACTTTGGGTTCTTTGGGAACGCAGTTTCTTTCTCATTTGTTGGACGCTTGGTGGTTTCGTGGTCGCGCAGCTGGCATCCATTGCTTTGACGACATATACCGTCTTAAATATGATTCGTTAGTTCACGTCTCATGCGCGATGTGTTATGTTTCTGACAATGGTTACAGCTGAACTTTCGTATAACACTGACTTGCATGCTTGTTTGTTTAGAGCAAAAATCAATTTCGCTGTATTATGGATCCCGGGTGTTGGTTTAAACGATGTTATTTCTTTTACTGTTTATTGATTTCTTCAGCTGTAGATCGCGTTTGAGGTCATGATATTCTTGACCACAGTTTGGAACGCTTTTGATCGTCCTCGTTCGGACGAGTCTCAGATGAGCAGAGTTCTGTACCGTGACGGCTGTGTCTACTTTCTGGTATAACATCATTTCTTGTTAAAGCTTGAGGCCTGCTCTGACGCCGATATTCTCCAGGTTTTATTTGGTAAGAATCCATAATTTTTGTCTTGTTTATTCGCGCCATTTACAAAATTCAGCGTTACGAATTATTAATCTAGTCCTTGCAATTACCGCTCCGGTAAGGTTCTGTTTGGGCTAATATTTGCATCACATCTGATTTTAATACTGGTCAGCTATCGTTGATATTTCTTGGTGTTTTGTAAGCAATGCTATTCTACCTTGGTTTGCATTAGAATATTAACTTTTTATCCTAGTTTCATTTGGTGTGCAACGAACGTCACCGTCACTCGACTTATTCTCAATCTTCGCCGACTGTCATCGCCTGGAGATACTGAGATCAGTGGTTCTCCAGATATTCCAGATAACCCGGCTGGCGCCAATAGCATCGTGTCCCAGGAGTATGAGTTACAGCCAAAAGGCTCGCAATCACCGATAACAAAATCCGCTTTTACGTGCTGATCGCGAATGGGAAATAATGCGCTCCGGTAAATGTTGCCTTGAAAAGCTTTCTACTTGTAAAATACTAGACGCCACACATTCCTTGTATTCTTGTACTTTACCTATTTACATGTGATCAGCGACTATATGGAAGCTCCATTGGTCGCTTGCAAGTTGAGTCGTACCACAATCACCACAACACTACTTGAACCTTTGTTAGTGGTCCTTGGTTGTGAAGTACATAACGATGGAAGCCTTTCTGGATCATGAATGGAAAACGGAGCTGTCAAATCGATTCTCAGTAGAAACCGCTGTCAATCTCAGTCCACCGCAAGATAAAGTACCAAGGCTTAGTCCAGAAGTCATCACATTTCTTGAAGAACGGAATATTGTGAGTTTCATACATGCTTTCGATGATAAGATCGATAAACCGACAACAGTCCACAGAACCCGGATGAGCTGCTGAAGCAGCCTATTGTGTGTCCTCCACCAGTTGACGATTCCTTTCCTTGGAAACAATACTTCGTGTCGTTCGTAGTACCACTTTAATTTTGTCTACGGGATGCTCAATATAAGCATTTGGGTTAGCTCTTCTCATAACACCTATCTCTTGTCTTGGCAAGTGCTCGGCCGAGCCTCCGCTGCCTCATACACGCATGTTATCTCCGAACACGGTCGTTGTGTCGAAATCGATGTTTGGTGGTCATCTGCCAATGGCGCTATTGTCACACATGGACATACATTAAGCAAGAGCGTGTCATTCAAGAGCGTATGTGTTGCCATCGGAGACGTAGTACGGGAAGGTGACTGGCCTCTCCTGGTGAGCCTGGAATGTCATGTGCCAGTAGCAAATCAAGGGGAGTTGGTAGATATCATGCAAGCTGCCTGGGGAGAGAAGTTAGTCCAAAAAGAGAGGGAAGATCTGGATGATGATACTATCTCTCCTAAAGACCTGAGAGGGAAAATAATTCTTATGGTCAGTCTCATCTATATATTCCCCAATACAGCACATCGTCATTCCTCCTCATTTTCTAGGTAGAATACTACCACGACGTATCGGGCATAGAAGAGCTTCAAGAATCGCCGCGCGATGACTTGTGTGAGGAGCCATATGATGAAATTGACAATGACCTTATCGTTGAAAAGAGTGAAAGCGGGCGTTCTAAAATTGCGGATTCTCTTGCCGCGCTTGGCTTCTACGCTCGCAGTATGAAACCAGCCAAAGGCTGGGTAGTTGAGCGTATGTCGTTTTATATATCTCTTCAATCCAACTTGTACCTATAACTCAGCTTGTTAGATTTTCCCAGCCCTCCTTTCCCCCGGAATATCCTCATCAACATCAGCGAGCCATCTTTGTTATCGTTGATACCTAACTCTTTCACACATCTCATCGAGCACGCCCGATATCATTTCCGTCGCATTTACCCGCGTGGAATTCGTCTCAGCTCGAGTAACTTCGATCCACTTAAGTTTTGGCGTAATGGGTCGCAGATTGCTTGCCTCAACTGGCAGCATTTTGACAGGGGGATGCAAATAAATGAAGCTATGTTCGTTGGCACTGAAGGTTGGGTGCTAAAGCCCGCTCCGCTACTGGGCATGGGAGAGCATATGAACTCGCGATTGAAATTGACCGTGGAGATTATAGGAGTTAGCTCCTGTGAGTATCCGGAATTTAGGTGAAGTTAGACCTGTTTTAACCTGAGAAATACAGTGTCGCCACCAAATGGCCATCATGATTTTACAGCGTATGTTCAAGCACAGCTATTCCATTCTGCAGGAGATCAGGAATGGCGCTCCGAACACGTAAAGTGCAAAGATGTTTCGGATGCTGGAGCTGATGTAATGTTTAATGGACGGTTTGAGTGGGAGTTTGAATCTGACGATATGGCCTTTATCAGGTGAGTTTCTTTACCGCGTTTCTGGACAGTCGCTTATCGTCCAACCCATCCACTCTCCAAGGCTTCTCGTGTTTCGGCACGAGTTTATACGATCGGAGAGGCTCGCCGTATTTTGTGCTCGCGTAATTCATCTGCAGCAAGGATGGAAATTTATCAGGCTATTGAACATGAAAGGAAAAAACAACGGTGCCACCGTTTTGGTAAGATTTGCGATCTCCGTGGTAGATTAGGAATCGAAAACCAAACTCCTCAGACTCAGATTACATTTATAGCATACTCAAAAATACTGATAACACTAGAGTGGGCATGTATTGTAAGAACGAGATAACTATTGCGCAATTGGGTATCACTAGGACTGGGTTCTTGCAGTTATCAGGATTGGATATTACTTGATTTCAGCAAGGCTCCCTCCCGCTGCCCTCTCTACACCTTTTAGCATCGCTATTAGTTTTTTCTCAGCACTGTCGTTTCCGCCCCTATCTCGTCCTCGTCCACGAGCGGGGCCGGCATTTTCATCTTCATCATCTTCGTCGTCATCGCCTCTCGTACGCTCGACCATAAACTCTGCAACAAAGTTTGCGACAGCCTTTTCTCCGATTTCACTATGTGCACGGTTACCCCAACGCCACTCCCAGGTACCTTCTTCCATGGATGCCTGAGTCGTTACAGGAGCTCTGCCGCGTTTCCCCCCAACAGGCCCTCTATTATCGTCGAGGCGGATGTGATCCAGATAACCCTGACGAACAAGTTGACTCAGATAGGTATCAACGGGAAGGCACTTGTGCGTCGATTGACTGCTCATTTCAACGGTGCCGGATTGCGGTAGTCGTAGTCGTTTGAGGTTTCCTCGAAGATCCACTATGGGTCGCACTCTGTCAGATGAAGAACGTAAAAGCGAATGAGCAGTACATACTATCGTTCATGGATCTCCCATTAACAAGGACGAGAGCAAGCACAACGTGCAGTACGCCCAGAGCACCTAGTTGATCTGCAGTGCTCCAAGAAATGATACTCCCGTACCTTACGGCTATTTCATCATCTTCGACATCACCGACATCATCTTGTTCTGCATTGTATATTAGATCATCCGTCAAAGCGGCATGCTCTATAATAACAGGGTCAAGCGTGGAACGCAGAATGTAGGTTTTGGAGCCTGCAGCAGCGACTGTGATAGGATGGCGGATTAGTCAACTTTTATGATGATTCAGATGTTTCACTCGCCTTTTTTCTTTACTCCGGTGGCATTGCGAGCTTCCTGAAGATCGGTAACTGCGACATTATCTTGTTCACGGTAGCTACGCGATTGTAACTCAACGAGTTCCATAGCAAAGGTTTTACGGAGCAACTTTTGTGCCTTCTCGTATACAGCATTGAACGAACGGGGATTGGAACCAAGAACTAGTTGTGTGTTGGAAGTTTATGGATGCTACAGAGAACTGCAGTTAGTGACTGGTAAGGCGTACCTTTTTTGCTTATGTCCTCTCTCCGCAAAGGCACCCGTTTATGTTCTGTAAAGAGAGCTAACCTAACAAGATCGCTTGCTTTTCTGTCCAAGTCCTATTTCAAAAAATTCGGCAACCTTAGAACACTACACCGCGACATACACTGACCACATCACTGCTTCCATCGCCTCCTTTCCTCACATGAGTGGATTCAAAGTGCATTTCCATATTTTCTTCGTCATCTCCTGCATCCTCATCGTCCTCGTCCTCACCGTCTGCGACTTCGACATGATTCCGTCTCCGAGAGGGGCGTTGAGATTGACTTTGAGACGGACCCGATACTCTTTGCGTTCTCTGCGACCGACTTGGTCCTGCTCGTGGAGCCATATGTTGATGATATCTCTTTTATGGAATGTACGAATAATACCAATTTCCTTTCTGTTGGACGTTTCTGAGGACCTACGGATGTGACGAATTATTGCGGTAGTCACGCGTGAGGGCCATGTCGTGACTCCCGTGACCAAGCGCGTTCCATTCCCTCGCCTTTTCTGTCAGAAACGAGCTCAGACTCGGGTTCAAGTTACTATCTCCAAATTGCAAAATATGTTCGTCCTAAGCTGTATTCCGCGGAAATATCAGCTGATGCAATTTTCTATCAGATTTACAGCGGCAGAATACGGAAATGTCCTCTTCTTATACTCGAAGATATGCCTCCTTGGGCTTTTTCTGCGCATGCCTCTTATCTCGTCTGTGTCGAAGGCAGTAGTATCCGTGTACCGGGAAGGTGTGCTGGTATAGTATTTTATTTCCGAAATCACCTCGACAAGCGGGAGAATACGGATATCAATGCTATATCTCATCCTTACAGCGGGCTAGCGTCGGACCGCTAGAACTCCGTGTATTCACAGCTCTAGAGAATATCATGGGCTCAGCCTCGCTCGTCGTGGGCATGAAAAGAAAAGGCATATAGTTTGGCACTACACTTCTTTCTTTAATGTCGGGGAATGCCACCTTAATTGGTAAACAGGACTTCTCCACAAGAGTAGGTTATTTTGAGAAAAAAGTATTGGGTGTGCCCTTTCTGACTCCTAAATGAAGTAGTCACCTACAGAAACCTTATACTGCCATCCCCTGACGCTTCTGCGCTTCACTTTCAGCTCTGGACCTCTAAATCAGACACCCTGCGATGACCCACACTGTAGCGCCGCAGTAGACATGCGCTTGGTCGCATGTAGGAACCGGCGACACGGACTTTATATCGCAAGACGCAACAGGGTGAGACGGCAGAGGAACGCTGAGAGGAATCAGTTCCTAGGATTCACTCGATGGAGTTAGTTACCCCGAGCTGACTTGTGGGGAGATGTGACCGCCGAGTGATTGGGAGCCTCGCAATCATTCTACACACATGATGGCAAAAATGCTGGCTGATAGAGACTAAAAATAGAAGGCAAAAGCAGGAAAACGGTCCCGTCCATGAGCGTCGTTATTCATCTGCATCAGTTGACGCATTCATTTATGCTAGACTGATCCTGGATCTTCGGTGCCTGGCTGAACTCTGACTGTGTAAGCTAATTTCTTGTCAGCTCATGGTTCAATCTTTTTGTCCCCGACTAAAACGCACACCGTTACACATCGCATAGCCACGCATCCAGCGTCTTCTCTGTGCCTCTATCAAATTGCTTTATTTCAGAATCACATCATCTGGTATTGATGGCGTTACCCCAGTTGTATGCGGTTTATCAGAGTGCGAGGAGTCGCGCCGGTATACGACTCTTCTTGTGTGAGTTCCATGAACACATTGAAACTCAAGGCTCTAAGCTCTACCGGTGTTTAGACAGGGGGATGAGACTATCTTCCTAGTCCGCGCTGGATGCTCGCCCTGCGCAAATATACGTATACGATGCTACGGCGAGTTTCAACCGTTGTGTTTTTCATACTATCATATCTAAATGCGGGGAATATTTTTGTACCTGAGAATGGCACATGCAAGTTCGGGCCGCTGGCTCTTCAGCCCCGGATTATCAAGTATCAGACAAGCGCAAACTGATGTGAATTATTCCTTCCCAATTCTGACTGCCTGAGGACGCTGAATGTATGGTTTTTTTTTCAAGCAAAAATCCTACAGAACTCCGTGATCGTGTTCTACATTCGAAGCAGTCTTATCTGCTTCTGAAGGTCTCGGTTTTTCTAAGAACGACCGTTGTAAATAGCTGGGAGCCAGCATTCGAAAAGCGAACGCCTATTATCGCCGATCGGTGTGCAACTTGCACTGACTAACCCCACTGGCCTCCCCACAAGGTACACTCCGCTTTTCTGAAAAGATCCAGGTCGGGCCGAACAGTAATGTTGCCGTGTTGAGCTCTTTGTGTGAAATGATGGTCCATCATCGATGCATCATACAAGACCCTGACTTATTTTTACCACCAGAGGTCGGTTTCAGGGTTGGGTCGGAATGCCGTGTGGGATAACATTCGGAAACCAACGAGATTCAAAACTATCCGGAAGTTCAGGTGCTCGTGGGGCATATGGCCCAAGATGGAAATCGGATGACATCACGTTTTGCCCGGTCTTCTGAAGTATAAGTAAGGTAGCCTTTGCCCTTTTTCGCCTTCTGCTAACCCTGCTTTTAGCTCCTCTATTTAGTAATAGCAGAACGTGAACAACTGACCTTTGTCTGCGGTCAAGATGGCGTTGTTTTACGTGTACGTCTGTCCACTTCTCTGGGACCTATGCCATAACTAACTGGGTAATTTGTTTCTAGTCAAGGCTTGCCCATAGGGGCGGTAGCCATCATGCTAGCCTTGCTTGCCTCCATGGGTGGCTTCATCTTTGGTGTAAGCGACAACGCTTATTCACCCCATTTCTTTGGTTTTTATGATATGGCAGTATGACACAGGACAAATATCTGACATCGTACTTATGCCCGATTTCTTGGTCCGCTTCGGATCGTGCGGTACCCCAGGCGTTGCGAGCACCTGCTCTTTTTCGGATGTCAGAGAGGGTTTGATAGTCGCCTTATTATCCATTGGCACGCTTGTCGGTGCACTAGCTGGTGCCCCGTTAGTCCCAAACATCATTGATTCAGTCGTAACGATTACTAATGTTATGCAGGACTGCCGATTTCCTTGGTCGCCGATACGCGATGTCGGTGGAGTGTTTTGTTTTTGTTGTCGGTGTAATCATTCAGATATCCTCGGAGCATGTCTGGCAACAATTCGCAGTTGGGAGGTTCATCAGTGGTTTGGGTGTTGGATCATTAAGTGCGGCCGTACCCATGGTAGGCTAGATGTCTATATGGATGTATATATCTGCCATGATACTCACCTCTTGAACAGTATCAGGCTGAAACAGCGCCGCCGCAGATCCGAGGAACGTTGACGTAAGCCCTTCCCCGTGTTTACCATATTCTGAACATCATGATTTATGTAATATACAGTGCGACATATCAGTTGTTCATCACCTTCGGTATATTGGTTGCATGTGCGTCCCGGAAGTTCATCAGTCATACCGAATTCGAAAGCTGACGGATTAATACAGACTGTATTTCCATTGGCACACGTGATATACCCTCATCCGGTTCATGGCGCATTGTTGTTGGCATTGGTATTTTGTGGGCGCTGATTTTGGGTATTGGTATCCTATTCATGCCCGAAAGTCCCAGGTGCGAGCCATTCCCTTTATTGTGATAGCGTCTCGTTAACATGCGTGATGATTTCCAGATGGTTGGCTGCCCATGATCGTTTGGACGATGCTCAGGCCTCCATTGCTCGCACTCGAGGTATCCCAGCGTCAGAAGCTTCTGACCATTACGTTATACGTCGCGAAGTCGAGGAAATCAGGTCCAATGTTCTTTACGAGAAGAATATTAGCGCAGGTTGGATTGATTGCTTCAAGGTCGAGAACAAGACTCTGTACCGCACTCTCCTTGGCATGTCATTGCAAAGTCTGCAACAACTTACCGGTGCCAACTACTTCTTCTACTATGGTGCTACCGTTTTCCTATCGGTTGGTATTGCCGATTCGTTCGTGACCCAAATCATCCTTGGTGCTGTCAACTTTTTCTGTACTTTTGGTGGCATGTACATCATGGAAAGGGTATGTTTTCTCTCTGATAGTTTATCATCGCACCTTTCATCCGCTTTTATAGTTCGGCCGTAGACGTCCCCTAATAATCGGTGGTTTATGGCAAGCTGCATGGTTGTTCATCTTCGCCTCAGCAGCAATTTCGACAGATCCCGCCACCAACCCTGGTATGGGCAAGCGTGAGTGTGGTATATCTTCTTCAGCTGCTCCAAAGCTGATCATTCGTCGGAATCTTCAGTCATGATTGTTTCAGCTTGCATGTTCATTTGGGGTTATGCCATGACATGGGCTCCGTAAGTTATATCCTACTCTCTCTATGAGCCTTCAGATTGATGGTGTGTTGTAGCGGTGTCTGGATTTTGATCGGAGAGACTTTCCCTACTAGGACTCGTGCAAAGCAAGGCAGCATTTCTACCGCAGCCAATTGGTTATGGAATTTCTTGATCGCCTTCTTCACGCCATTCATCATCAAAAGCATTTCCTACAAATACGGTTATATCTTTGCATGTACGTCATTTTATTTTTGTTTGAAATCGGGTCGCTGATATCCAGGCTGAAAATCTCTTTTTAGCATGCAACTTGCTCGGCGCTTTCGTTGTTTACTTCTTCCTTTACGAATCGTCCGATCTTTCGCTTGAAAGTGTGAACATGGTATGTGCGCAACTTTCGCAATAGGCACGTGACAGTGAACCGTCTTTTGTAGATGTATATCGACCCAGACTGCAAGCCGTGGACTTCCCGTAACTGGGCACCACCTGGCTTCGCGTCCAGGCAAGATCTTATTGACCAGTCGAGGGCTGCTGAAGCTCACAAGCCACTCGCATCTGGGGCACTTGAAGAAACCAGAATCGAAAAACGTTCATCGAAGAACTCCAGCGAAGAGGTTTAAAGAGCGGCACATATGTGGAAACACAAATAGACTCTTTATTCGACCCCTTCAATCGATATGTCTGGTCATGGTAATGCGCTGTTTGGTAGAATGCTTTTCGCATCCAATCATATCTTACGAGTGTTACGACACGACAATTTTGTACCCTTAATGAAATTCATTTACATCCGGTTCACAGCTTGAGTGACAGGAAACTTACTTATATATACCGCATCGATAGGTTGGTATTAAGACATGACATGACAGAAGCCTCTCATTCGCAAATCGAGCTAGTAGGGTCCCTGTAAACCCTAACCCTCTCCAGGGTTTTCGTTGAGCATATTGAACTGGAAATTTTGAACCGTCCACTGGCACTGGCATACACATACATGTAAGTACCATAATAAGCCTTGCTCAGGAATTTTTTGACGGGCGTCATGCTACGTAGGCCGTGTTGCAGTTTAGACTCATTCCATCGTCTTTCATTTCCAAGCTTATCATGACATCAGACGAAGACGAAGACTCGATTCTATCGCTGGATTCCATTTTCACTGTCAGTCATGTTTTTACCACTCACAGATGAGGACCGTCACCGGTATCGCTATGATGAAGTTTATCTGTTGATCTTTCTCTTGAAGGAACCAGCTCGTCCTCCCACTCCAAAACCCACCTTCTCCACATACACTCGCACTCGGACACCTCAGAACAAGCTTTCACTGGAATCCGATTCTGGCCTACTTGACATCAGAATCAAACTTGTAGGTTCCCATCCATTGTGGGGGCATTATTTGTAAGCTCAGCTTGTTCCACATTGCCTCGATTATTTTCCTGAAGCCCGGTTATTCAGATGGAATGCTGCGCGCTCCTTTGCTTCATATATTGACGCAAATCCTGACTTTGTTCGTGATCGTTTTGTCCTTGAACTAGGGGCAGGTGGTGGCCTCCCTGGTATCATTTCCGCGCTAAACGGAGCTCAGAAGGTACATCTATAGTCCTCTAGAATTCACGACTACACTAATGCTGCGTAGGTGATTTTGACCGATTATCCCGATGCAGCCCTCCTCGATAACATTGACTTCAACATCGCTCAAAACGTCCCTTCAGTTCAAAGAAGTAGAATCGAAGGACGTGTGAGTGCTGTCTTTACTGCTTCTTTAAACGAGTCTAATCGATAAACACCCTCGCTTGAATAGGGTTATATCTGGGGTAATCCCGTGGATACCCTATTGCAGACTTTACCAGCCACGGAGCCATGGAGGAAATTTGACCTTATCATATTATCCGACCTTGTTTTCAATCACTCACAAGTGCGTCCTTTCTACTTTTCACAATTTGAAAAAATTTGAGTTATCAGCCTGTCTAGCACGATGCACTTCTATTGACGTGCGAACTTTGTTTGACGCCTCTTACCAGTAAAGATACGGATCCTGCCGCTCCTGTGATGCATCCTGCACCCTCAATCCTAGTCTTCTATACCCATCATCGCCCGCATCTAGCCCATCGTGACCTGGGATTCTTCGCGAAGGCACGTGAACGTGGATGGAAGTGTGATGAACTATTAACCGAGAAGTTCCCGGTAAGCTGCGTCCTACAATCTGCAGGGTCGATGCGGTTGTTTGACCCCTCTGATTCACTTCTGATTCAAGCCGATGTTCCCCGAGGATCCAGGAGCGGAGGAAGTTCGATCAACTGTTCACGGTTGGCTGTTGACTCGAAAGACGAATTGAATACACATGGTTTCGACGTGTGATGACTTAATTTGACACGTATGTAGGTGTCAACTATCAACCGCAAAAGTAATAATCAAATTGCTCGCACAATGCAGGTAAACCAACACGCTGACACCTGTGAACATCGTGCCGGCGTAAAATAGTGCAGACTGTTATCCAAATTTTCCATTACATATCATGTCCGTCACTTGGGAAAGTCCCTACTAGGGGTTACTCAGACGATCACAGGTTTCAGAAATGGCGTGACAATTCCGCACGTTCTTATCATCGACACGAAAGCCTGACGAAACCGTCTTGAAACGGCACTGATTAGGTCATTGTGCTGGGCACTGCGCAAGCTGAGAATCCCAATATTCGTCCGAAGCGAAGATAACTTTGGATGGCTAGGTTATTATTGTATGACCTGCTTGCCCGTGGGGAAGATTGTATGACGTACCTTGACTACTCCGCTGCGAAATTTAGTTCTACCTAACGACCGCATAGGCCGTCAAAATCGACTCAAATGTCAAGCCAGTCGATGTTTATGATCTCAGAGCCTAGATGATAGTCACAATGTCCGCGAATTTGGCATTGACTTGGGTGTAGTACGCCAGGGGATAGTTGGGAACAACATCGTCTCTGCGAGAGAACAAATGCAAAATGTTGCGGCACCAGGGTTGCCTTTGATCCGTAGAATTTATCCTACGGCACTACCATCGTCCATTCACGAGAAACCGTTCAAATTCATGTGCCGGTAGATATGACACTTGTAGTCATCTGGATTAAAATTGATCAGGGTGTATGGTTCTTCGCATACACACCGTGCCGGAAAGTAACGAGGCTCGTGAAGTGATTTCTATCACGCAGGTGCCCGTAAGTTCAGAGAAATTAGGACCGGCGGGTATGAATCAAGTCTAGGCCAAGGCGTGTTTGGTCCCCACCGCAGGAATGTTCTCAAGGACATACCTATGTGGGAAGATAACATCAACCCACAGTCTGACCATCAGAACAATTGTAAAACAAGAATACAGACCCACACCTTTCTTGACGAGCAGCTATTATAAGTCCCAACGAGTTGGTGATGCTCTCTTCAGCCCAACCGTGTGACACGTACGTGATTTTGCGGGGATCATTGGGGCCAAACGTTGATCGTGATGAGGTCAGAACTAGAGTCATGTGCCACCGAAAGACAATTCAAGGCCCTTTACACATCTACGCGTCCCACAGTTCATCATCTGTGTGTGCAGTTGATAGGAAAAGAGGTTCCTGCCCATGGGTAGCAACCGTGCCTTTGCACGGTGTGGTAATACTGGTGGGGGCCGGCGCTAGTCTGCCTGTGATTGACTTATAACCAACAAGTTCGTCTTTCTTTGCAACGTCTGATGCCTGAGTATTGATGTTCCACAAAGGTTGGTCAAATATTCGAAGAGCACCAACGCTGCTCAGCCCTGGGACTATGACTCTGATATGGAAACGTTCAGCTCAAAAAGTTAAACTTCAAAGAGTGCTCAGCGTTATTACGCACGTTTAGTTTGATTACTGGTAGATTTTTAGGCTGAAGAACGTATTCGATGGGAAGTGACACAGGTATCAGCAACTTTACACGATATTTAGCCAAGGGCCATCGGGTAGGAACTCACATCGAGAAGTGTTGGGACCAAGACTCACCGCGATGACTGGCACTCCGAAAGAAGATATTGACCAAAGAAGTAATTAGTTACCACGGGGTAGGGATACGTAGGGCCAAAGACGCGAACTTATATCTTACCATTGTACTTGTCATTCTAGATACCTTTATCACACTTCGCCACAGTAAAGATCATGTCTGGAGAAGATCAAGCAGACGCAGGGGGAAGAACACTTGGGGGAGGCAACAGCGAGCCTCTGCCAAGCGCTTGGGTGCGTCCCGCTGCAGCACCTAGAGTGGGACGCATTGGAGATTGGGGATCATCGTCCTCTTCGTCTCGGTGAGAGATGGATCTGTCGTATATGGATTACTTTCATCGTATCATGATCTTGTACTGATCATCTATTGATGTTTACAGTGGTCCTTCGGGCAGAGGTATAGCAACTCTTTCTGATGTCTCCGCGAGCCGCCCAGGCGGTGGAGTAGCAAGACTGCCTCCAAGCGCCGCAGACGATGATGATGACGACGACGACGAAGATGAAGACAAAAGGCAAACCTTTTTTGCTGGCGGTGAAAGAAGGTGTGCATCTGTTTTGGTGACATTTGCTTGGTCTGATTATGTTCAGTGGCCTATCGGTAGAGAATCCGAACAGAAGAGATAATATTCCGGGTGGTAACGTAGTTAGGGATATTATACGCAGAGCGACCGAGTAAGTCCTTAGCTGGCGTATGTTGACCTGTTATCCTAATTGTTGGTCAAATAGAGCTAGCCAACAACAACAACAACAACAACACCAAGAAGGCGCCGCTAGGTCAAGTGCTTTCACCGGCGGAGGTCACACACTCGGAAGCGATGAAGTAGAGAGTTCTTATATTCCTGACCCTGATGCAACGCCTCCTGGTATCTTCTTCTTAACTTTGTTGTCATTTGCCACATATTCATTCGTGTGTTAGATGTTGATACTGTGACGCGACATGTTACCTTCTGGAGAGATGGATTCACCATTGAAGATGGAGAATTGCTGCGTTACGATGATCCTGCCAATGAAGAGCTTCTGGAGTTGATCGAGTCGGGGTGAATAATTTTGTTGACTTAAAAGCTTCAAATAAGTTCTAATATGTGTTATTTAGTCGTGCTCCCCCGCACCTTCTCAATGTTGCAATTGGCCAGTTGGTAAATCTTCATATCGATAAGCGCCTAACAGAGGTCTACACGCCTACGAAACGTCAACACCAAGCATTTACCGGCTCTGGTCATCGCTTGGGTTCACCTGCACCTGCGGTTACCTCGAGAACTCGAGACGAAGCTATGCCTGGTTCGTTTCCTAGCGGGGGTGCTGCACCCAGTGGCAACAGCAATGCAGGTGCCAGCTCTGAGAGGGGTAGTATCACGACAAGATTTGAAGTGGATCAGACACAGCCTACGACTAGTGTGCAGATCAGGTTAGCGGATGGAACCAGGTAAGGCGCCGTCATATCCCACCCTAACAGCAGCGGCATCGATATGAAATAACCATATCTTTGTACAGAATGGTGTGCCGAATGAATCTGACACATACAGTGGGCAATCTCCGTGATTTCATCAATGCGTACGTGCTTGATCTCGCCATTTTCATTGCAATGGCTGATTTTTACTTGCCTTTAGTTCGCGACCTGAGAACATGTCTCGCGCGTATACGATCGGGACGACGTTCCCCAACCGTGTTCTGGAGGACGACAGTCAAAATATACAAGCCGCCGGTTTGGTTAACAGTGTGATCGTGCAGAGATGGGCATAAATAGCGAAAAGGTGTATTGCTGTAAGTACTTGTACTATTATTGTTGGTTCGGTACTATTAGAGACGTATTGGATTCTCGTGACAAACCGCGAAGCGATGATTCGACGTCGTGAGTCTTGCTCAGCACCATCATGGCGTCAAGCCCAGCGTCTGCTGCTATTCATTGTTATCTCCTCGTACTCGTGTTCGGACGCTGGGCTAAGTATACTGTAAACCCGTTCTTGAATGCCTTCCGTAAACGAAAGTGAATTCCCACGTATCATGCTCGGTTTATTGATCTCAGCCTTCGGATAGTAGAGCGCTCTGAAAAGTGATAGCACTGGCTGGTTGTAACCGCCGTTGTCATAGTCATATCCTTGCATTGCAGCGGTTCTCGCACATACTTTATTATCTTCACTACAGTCTATGGATGACCAGCGCAATCTTTCTCACACTCGGTCACAAAGGAGCTCTTCGTCTTCCGCTGTGGACTTGACTGGGACGCCCGCTGGTCTGGCTAGTACCTCTCGTCCTCCTTCTCCTACTCTTCATCCTTCCGACAGTGGTTCTAACTTTGCGCGTAGGAGAGCGAGCTGGGGAAGAGTAGAAGACGGGCAGGACCCGTTGCATTTGCAGACACCAGTGACAATGGAGGCAGGCTTATCGAGTGCTATGGCAGAGCATGGAGACACGATAGCAGAACCACCAAGGACCGCTTATGGCCTTGACGGGGACCCATTCTTGACGCCAGCGGAGAACTCGTTCTTGGCACAAGATTTCACACCCAGAAGCACTACTATCGACACCCGCTACGGGTCTAAGTTCAACTTAATAAGTGGAACCAGTACGTATTCGACTGCGCAGCCGGGTCCATCATCTGCCTCCCTTATTTCAACAGGAGACTCAGAAGACGTCGAGCCCCAACGAGAAGACGATGGAGCTCGCTTGACCTTGGATATATCCCGCATTCATACAAACGATAGCTGGAACGAAAATCTTTCCGCAGACTCGGAACGCTCGGGTGGCATTGCTCGCACGCGTCGGAGAACTACCATTCGGTACGATACACCGTCGCCACTGAAGAGGACGGGAACTGCTTTCAAGTCCATGTCGAAAAATATACGTCGCGCGTCTCTACGTGTGGTGAATCTCGCCGGAACTGGCTTGGACGACTCGATACGTCTACCAGACGATGACGATGACGATGGTCAATTTCCTGGGAAGGATAAAGAGGAGGAGGAGTACGAGATGCGACAGAAGGGGAGCAACCCTCCGGACCTCACTGAACCTTCACCCATCCGTGGCCGTACGCTCTGTTTCTTTGGACCAACAAGCAAAATTCGACTCAAATTGTATTACCTCTTACTGCACCCGTAAGTCACACGTTTGTTGTCTTACCTTTGTTCTTATCTCTTACTCGGCATTTAAGATGGACGGAACCTCTTATACTTGTTCTCATTATCATTAATGCTATCATATTAACAATACAAGCCTCGCATTCCTTGCTTTTATCTCCTAGCCAGAATGCACCAACGCCCATAAAGGGTTATTTCCATCTATGGGAAGACTATGTTCTGTTCGTTCTGTTCGTCCTGTTCACGTGAGTGTCTAATACTACGGCTGCAAACACCTGTATTCAAGACTGTTACCTCCCTGTAGGCTAGAAGCTTTTGCTCGTATATGTGTTTCTGGTTTCCTATTCGATCCAGAGATTCGCGTTTCAGCCATAGTCGATTCTGCGCCTTCAGGTTACGCCAATGCGCCGACTGCTTCCACTACTTCATTGGATACACAATCTCAAATGACTCGACAAGCTTCATTAGCTCGCGGTCTTTCTTTCCATCGCTTTTACCAGAAGCTTGCGCGCCCATTCGCTCTTGCACCGAGCTCGTCATCGTCACCTTACCTTCACAATGCTACAACACCGTCGACATCGACATCTACACCGACGCCCCGTCGAATCCATTCTGATGGGAATCGCTCTCGGAATCCCATCGAGAAATTGGCAAATAGTATCTCACATCCACCGAAGCACATTCGAAATCCATCTCAGCCTACCTTCTTCTCCAAAGCTTTACGGTCAGATCAAACAGATGTGATTTCACTACCTTTTCGGCTCAACATCTCTCATGCACACGAAAAAGTCCATCGCAATGTTCCCTATCTGCGACAAAGCTGGACTCGAATCGACTTTGTTGCTATTGTCAGTTTTTGGATATCCTTTATTTTGGCTATGACGCATGTCGAAAGAGGAACCTATCACATTGGGGCTTTCAGGGCTATGAGTGTGTTGCGCACGGCAAGGCTACTTGCAATTACATCTGGTACTACGGTAAGTACGCTGGTTCTTGTCAGTGGCCTCAGTTTCACTCGTATGCAGACTATCATGCGATCGCTAAAAATTGCACGACCTTTGCTCACCAATGTTGCTTATTTCGTCGTCTTTGCCATGATATTGTTCTCGTAAGATTTGTCCTTCCTTTTATTTGGGTTACTCGTCTGACTCACCTTGCCTATCAGTGTCATCGGTGTGCAGTCTTTCAAAGGTTCTTTCCAGCGATCTTGTTATTTACAACCTACCCTTGGCGAGAGTGCAACCCAGATTTCAAATCAATTTTGCGGCGGTCATGTCGATCCAGTGACTTTGAACAATACGTATTATCTCCAGCGGAATGGTAATCCAGGAAATACCATCAAAGGCTACATCTGTCCACTTGGGCAGGTCTGTCAGGTCTGTCACAGAAGCCCTTTTCTGGCTGTCATAAACTGATGTCAGGTATAATAGGAAGGGCAAAATCCTTATACTGGTGTTGAGAGTTTCGATACGGTGTACTTTGCATTACTTCAAGTAATAATTGTTGCTTCTGCCAATGGCGTGCGTATGAAGTAGTTCAAGGCGTCACTTGAGAGCTGACATCTGATCTATGTCTATCTTCAGTGGTCTCCAATCATGTACGCCATGATTGATGCGGAATACTTCGTGTCCTGCTTTTTCTTCATCATCTGCATTCTTGTCCTGAACTTCTGGCTTATAAACCTTTTTGTTGCTGTCATTACCAACACATTCTCAGCAATAAGGTCAGATACAAAGAAGAGTGCTTTTGGAGCTGCGCCGTAAGTTGTACTTGTAATCAAATGTCAAACCACTTCATCGTTCTTATCATCTTCCTTAACAGTTTAGGTCCTATTACTGACGAGCAAGACGAGGGTTGGGCTATAGTCGATGGCCGCCATATCTCACAAAATAACCGTCTCAAAGTTGTTTATCAGTATACGAGATGGTGCTGGGTGTTTCTTGCACTTGCATCGCTTGTTGTACAGGCCACTGCAACTGCCACAATGAGCGATGTGCATCAGACCGTCCTCGATTGGTCGGAGCTTGCTATCACCATTGCATTCGATTTCGAGATTATCCTACGAGTTTTGGCAGAGCTACCAGCCTGGCGGAAATTCTTTGCACACGGGAACAATTGGCTGGACATACTGTTGGCCATTGGCTCTACCATAATTCAGATTCCGGCCATACATAACTCTTCGGTTTATCCGTGGCTGACAATTTTTCAGCTGGCTAGGTTCTACAGAGTGATTCTGGAGTTCCCGAGAATGAAACCACTCATGGTAACTATTGTGTTATAGCTCAGGCCTCACGACGTGCTTCTGCTCACGAACTTATTCCTTAGCTTACGGTTTTCGGAAACATGTATGGTCTGGCGAACATGACTCTATTTCTGATGCTGGTGAACTTCATAGCTGCTCTGGTCGGCGTTCAGCTTTTACGCGGAGACATGGATGGAAGTAACACCATGAATTTTGGTCAACTCTTCAATTCGTTCTTGGCCGTCTACCAAATATTTTCGTCGGAGAACTGGACAACTGTATTGTATGGTGCCACTGATGCGGAGCTATCTCTGGGCCAAGCTGTAATTGTTGCTTTCTTCCTATCTTGTTGGCTTCTTTTCGCGAACTGTAAGTCATTCCAGACACGTCCAAAAATTTCCTGCTGATGGAAGTACTGTGCATGTAGTCATCGTACTGCAGATGTTTATTGCTGTCATCAATGAAAATTTCAACGTGGCGGAGGAGGCCAAGAGAGGGAAACAGGCCTCTGATTATTGGGAAAATGATCAACAGCGGCCGATAGACAATGCAACTTGGATGCGCAAGCTCAATCCCTATCAATGGATCAAAGCTAATCCTGTCAAGGTGAAGGTCGAGAATCTCCCGTCGAATCTTGTATTACCTATGCAGAAGGCATTGGTTCAAGATTATCAGATTCCAAGTCAAGTAAATAGAGCTTCCTCTGTGTGTACCGGATTTTACATGTCGGGTGATATCTGTTACTGATCCACCACCAGAGTCGGCGAAATTCAAAAGCCAAGCAGGGGTCAGCAACTCGTCATCTTCCATCGAAGTCACTTACTATGCTGCAGCAGCTATTTGTTGGGGACATGAGATCAAATAACGTACCTCTGGCCAATCTACGTCGAGCTCGGCATGATTCAATGGCTCTCCAGGATCCCATTGATGAGGAAACTGAGCGTCATCTGTAAGTATCTTTTATACTGTTAAGATAATTATTTGATGTTAGCTCCTCTTTAGCGAAATATTGGCTTCTGTTAACCCCGAGAATGCCTCAACGCAAGACATCAACGACTTGTTGTACGAAAGACGGGCTCAAAAAGCGGATTTTATTCGTGACCATCCTACCTACGACAAAACCTTTTGGCTCTTCTCCCAGAAAAACCGTATCCGCCATCTTTGTCAGAAGATGGTCAAACCTGCCAATGGAGAACGCATCTTTGGTACTCCTCTATCAAACGTCGTTCATCCTATATTCCAGCTGGTTATTTTGCTCGCAGTAATTGGCGGTATAGTCACGGAAGGTATTGCGACGCCTGTATACCGGCGTGACTATTTTCTTGCCAACGGCGTCATTCGAGGTTCATGGTTCAACATTGCTGAAACTGTCTTTGGCCTGGTGCTCGTTATAGAGTTCTTCATCAAGGTTATAGCGGATGGTTTTGCGTTTACTCCCAACGCCTATGTTCGCAGTATCTGGAACATCCTTGATTTTTTCATCTTGATTGGGATTTTGGTCAACGTCTCACTTACTCTCATGTTTGTTGGTGGACTGAGCCGCTTTACGCGTGCCTTGAAGGCATTACGTGCTTTGCGCCTGATAACGCTCATCGAGAAAATGCGGGACACCTTCCAATCATTAATCCTCTCAGGCGTTACCCGTATCTTGGACGCTGCTATGCTTGCGATATTGTATCTCATTCCTTTCAGTGTATGGGGTGTAAACATCTTCGCAGGACTTATGAACGAGTGTAATGATACCAGTGTGCAGGGTATTTCGGACTGCACGAATGAGTACGTGAACACCATCTATGGAGACTCATTCGGCTTTTTGGTACCACGTGCATGGCAGAATCCATCTCCATCAACAACGTTCTCATTCGATAATTTCCGCGCTTCCCTTCTCATTCTCTTCGAAATCGTTTCTCTCGAGGGTTGGATTGACGTGATGTCGGTTGCTATGAGCATAACTGGCAAGGGGCAACAACCACAGACCAACGTCTCACAGGTCAACGCTATATTCTTTGTTATTTATAATCTTCTGGGAGGGGTAGTGATTTTGACGCTCTTTGTCAGGTATGCTTTTCTCCTAGCATGTCTCTCCAAAATCTCATGTTTGAACAGTATTATCATTGGAAACTTCTCTTCAGAGACGGGGACAGCATTCCTTACACAGCCCCAGAGAGAATGGATTGATTTACAAAAATTAATTAAACGCCAGCGACCTTCAAAGAGGCCCCAAGATCGACCAACTTCCTTGGTTCGGTCGTGGTGCTATGACCGCGCTGTCCATAAACATGGATGGTGGTCGCGTATGATGACTTTTCTACTTATCGTTCAAATATTTGCTTTGATGTTCGTCTTTTGCACTCCATCTATCTTCGAATCCGATGATAAACTAATGATGCAGGACCCAAACCTTCACTGCTCAAGCTGTGGCTGACAGTCTTCGCAGTAAGCATGATTATGCCCTTTATATAACGTTCAATCATCTGACATCACATGTAGATAATTTCTCTCTACTGATCACTTTCATGTATGTCATCGACATCAGTGTTCGATTTTATGGACTTGGGTGGAATAGCTTCCGTGCGAATGGGTGGAATATTTTTGACATCGCTGTTGCGGGAGGCAGCTTCGTCACGACGCTGGTCGTGCGCTTCGGATCCAGCAGTTTCGTCATTCAACAGCTTCAAAAACTGTTCCTTGTTAGTATTGCTTTCAAACTCGTACAAAGAACAAACAGTTTGAATAAGTTATTCAAAACTGCAGTGTACGTGAACCTCGCCTCCCTATGCTCCTCACACTAACAGCGTCCCATAGTGCCAATCTGCCAGTTATACTAAGCCTCCTTGCATTATGGCTCATACTGTTTTTATTCTTTGCTATCATGTACATGGAAGTATTTGGCATGACGAAGTGGTACTCGGCTGAAACAAGGACGCAAAATTATCAAACGATGGGCTCCGCGCTTGTGATGTTGGCGTTTATGAGCACAGGGTCAGTTAAATATCTGGTAGAAGGAATAAATATGTATGCTGATCGTTGAACAGCGAAGGTTGGAACCAGTATATGCATGACTAGTAAGAAAAAAACCTGCAACTACGTGATTACTTGCTCACAGTAGTAATTGGCTAGTGCTGTCGAATATCCTCGCTGCACACGAACGACTAGTTTAATAAACCAAACAGATTGTGGCAGCACAGCTTGGGCATTCTCGCTATTCATTGCGTGGAACCTTTTGAGTATGGTATGTTGTGAAATGTAGTCACTTTATGCTTGTTTTTTTTTGACTCTGATAATTATTTATATAGTATATATTCGTCAACATGTTCACCGGTACGTATATTTTATACCCACCTGTGCAAGTCTGACTTAGTGCAGGTGTTGTCGTGGAGAACTTCTCCTACGTCTTTCAAGTAAGTGGTGGCGCAAAATCCATCACTCGCGAAGAAATGCGTTCCTTCAAAAAAATCTGGGCAGAATTTGCCAACCCGAAAACTGGGCGTCTGGAACGCAGTCGTTTCGTTCCTTTCTTTGCTGTCAGTATTTATTCCAAGGAAATATGACTGCTGTGCTGACAAGTCTTACCCAAGAAACTCAGTGGTGTGTTCGAAACCCGTATCTATCCAATCGACTATAGTGTGAAGAATATTGTTGCTCAATGCAAAAGCGATAAAGAGACGCACGTCTGGTCCAGCAAGGACGCGACAGGTATGGACCTTTCAAAGCTCAATAAAGCGCTAAGCGCCATCGACTATGCCGGTGTCAGAAAGAGGAGGACCACCTACAGTCGTTTGTATCATGAAGCGAGTGTGTCTTATCACCAAGGGACAGGAATATCGTTTACCGAAATGCTTTTGTTACTCGCCCACAATAAGCTTATCGTGGATCGGGAAGCCTTAGTGTAGGTCCTCCATCTCACATATTCACAGATGGGCTGCAAGATATTTAGTTTTTGTTCATAGGTTGAAAGATTTAGTAGTTAGAACTGAGACCAATAAGCTTGTCACAGATTTGGTCAACCTTGATCGGGTACGCTCGTTGCTAAGGATGATTTCATTGCGGCGGCGATTCCTGGCACACAGAGAACAATCAAAGCGAATCCGCAACGAACAGCAAGGTAAAAATTATACCCCAGGAATAGAAAACCGCTGACACTAGCTATTTTAGATATTCCTGCAATCGTTGTCGATGCTTTCCCTTCGACTCCCCCACCCAGCACCCGAGATATCACCTCGCCTCGGAGCGAAAATGGACGAACGCAGCATGAATCATGGAGCCCGACACCATCTCCTTTAGAGCTCCATCCTTCCCCGCAACTATCCTTTGCTGACTCGGCCCCTCGCTCATCCCTCCAACGTGCACGAAGGACGAGTGACATCAGTATGTTATCAGCGGATATCGGACACAGCTATTGGTTCGTGCATAATACAATCTTGTCCATCCATCACTCATATCACATGGTAGGAGGGATAGCTCCAGTTCTGTCACAGATGATCCTGCTACGGTTTTGTCATCCATGCAAAATTCGATGTGGGGCGGTATGTTAGCCTTTATCTGCACTTTGACCATATCTCAATAATCAATTTGTAGAAATGATGCTTGAAGCGGCAAAAGAAGAAGAGGACATTTGAGTTGTTGTACAGCATTTATTATGGATAGACCTTATTAGAGGAATGCAACATAGCATATGTATTCATCAGATATCAATCACACATATAGTAGCGTCAATGCATATATCATTCCTAAACCACGAAACAAATGAAGTGAGGAGCAATCAAGTGCGACCAGGTAATCTGCTCCCTCGCCAAGACTTCTTCTCAGCCACAGTCTGAAACCCATCGTCATCTTTCTTCAACTCTTCATTGTGTGAATTAACGGCAGGCGAACTGGGTCTAGGAGGAACAGTACCAGCTTTCCTGGCTTCTTCTCTGGCTCTCCAGCCACCACCACCGAGAGCACCAGGCCGATACTTGGCAGACGCAGCAGCTGCGGGAGCAGGACTTTCAGCGCGAGGTGGCGTCGAAGCAGGGGCGGCGAGCGGACGTCCATTTCCTACACTTGGTACTGCACTTCGTCTCCACGCGCCAGAATCTGGTTGGCGTTCTACGGGAGTTTCCGATTGACGTTGTGCTGCTGCACGTCGTTCAGCGGCACGTTTTGTGGCTTCTTCCTCACGCTGTTGTTGCAAACGTGCTGCCTCGGCGGCGGCGGCGCGCTCCTCTTCGCGTTGTTTACGCAGCGCAAGTGCAGCTTCTTTAGCTTCTCTCTCTTTAGCTTCCTTGGCAGCACGTTCAGCCTCTTCCAAGTCGCGAAGTCGCTGCTCTTCAGCGAGTTTCTCTGATGGGTTTGATTATCAAAGCGTTAGTTATATGATTGAGTAAGCATGCATAAGCATCACACATACCGGCTTCCAGCCTTGCTTCTTCTTCTTGCTGCTCACGAAGTATCCGTTGCTCCTCTTCCCTGTGCCGATCATCTTCTTCGCGTGCCGCTAGGACTTCTTGTATCCTCTTCGCCTTCTCTTCCTCAATCTTCTGCTTAGCTATCGCCTGTTTCTTCTCGAATTCTTCTGCTTTCTGCGACATGATCTTTTCTTTGTACGCTCTGTAATCAGACATCATCCTTGCCAATCTGTGTTTAGTCTCCATATCCTGCTGGTGAGCAAGCTTGAAACCTTCAATCTTCGACTTCTGGGCCGCTTCCCAGTTAGCGCGATCCGTTTCCTGTTGTTCGACATAATCTTGCGCAAGCAGTGGCCTTTCCTCTTTCCGGTATGCACGTACAAGATGATCCATGCGCTTCCCGATGACGCGGATGCGATCATTGAGATGGCTCTTTTCCTTCTCGAGTTGTTCCACTTGCAGGCGCATGAGTTTATCTGTGCTAAGATTTTCCATTTCCTAGTTATGTATCGCCGATCGTTAGAAGAAGGCCTACAAGTGATGAAAAATAGCCAACATACATCCATGGAAACCTTCAAGTTACCTCTCTTGATTAGGCTTTCGGCAAGTTTCTTAGCTTCCTCGGTCTTGATACTCTCAATTTCCTTGCGTACACGCTCCTTCTCTTTTAGTTTGGCATCCTCCTGAGCTTTCTTTGCCTCCAAGTCCTTCTCAACACGGGAAGTCGCAGCACGACGAAGCGCGTCTTCCTTCTCCTTGCGTAACGCCAGTTCAGACATAAGCTCGCGGCGACGAGCCACTATAGCTCTACGAAGCTGCTGTGCTTCACGTTCGGCATGAGCAGCCGTCACAAGTGCACGATACTCTGCCTGTTGCTTTTCCTCCTCTTCCTCTATCGAGATAATCGGAGGGGGGAAGATGATATTTATCGATTTCTCGAGACATACCGCCAACGTACTCAACCGCGTTCGGACGATCTCGGAGTTTGAAGGCTGTATTGACTTCTCCTTCAATGTAGAAGTGCTGGCCATTGAAGATGATGAGGGATCGTCGGGCTGAACAAATGCATCATCGATGAATGTGATACTGCCAAAGGCATGGTCAACACGGATATTTAATTCATTGCGCCGTGCGCAGCCCATGATGTATGCCTCGATCTGCTCAGCATCGAAGCCGCCACCGCCTTCACGAAGAGGTGCAACGAGTTCCAAAAGGTTGTCGACTTGGATGGAGCTATACACTTGAGAGAGTTGGGATAGAAGGCGTGACAAGAGTGCGCGCTCTAGTAAGACGCGGTATCCGGAGTATGGTGAGTCAGGGGCATCCTCTGCTGACGAACAGAGACTGTTCAGAATAGGCGCGACAGAAGTGCAGAGAGTAAGAGGCTCAAATGAAACTTCAAGTAGATTATACAGCGCCTTGACAGGTGCAGGAGAAAGTCGGAGAACGTCTCGTGAAAGCTAACAGCAAAAATCACGTGAGTAATATGCATATGGAGGTGAGAATTGGACGTACAGCATCTTTCAACAAGCCAGCTCGTGTGGGAGCCCTGGATAGCCCAAGAAGAGCTGCCAGTCTGCCGCTCTTCCCTTTACCATGCTCTGCCGATTCCTCAAATTGTCCCACGGGGACGGCCAGTGCGCTGACGAGGACCTGGCCGGCCAATCGGCTAAGCTCCTGCTCGGACTTACCGCCTATGTTCGTAACGATAGAGTAATATCGACCCCAGGCCGCAGCATGGAAAAGGGCGTTGTCACTCATCAAGAATATTTTAGTAAGCTTCTCGTAGTAGTTGGCCATCATCGCAGGACGGGGAGCCTTCTTAGCCATTGTAAGCAGGTTGTGAACATCTTCGACTGAGCGGAAGGCTTCTTGCCACAGTTCTAACTCAACGGAAGTGTTGAGCTGTGCAAAACGGGTATCGAGATGATGTTGGAGAGTGTCGGCATCGGCGAGATTAATGGAATGGGGCTGATGTGAATATTTGGCGACATTTGAGAGATGAAGACGCAACGTTTCGCAGAGACGACGGAATTCTACTTTGCGCTGATGCTTCAAACAAAATCTGAATGCTTGCTGTGCGATTTGCTATAACACAGTCAATATACCGCAATTTGCTGCAGATAGCTGAACAACGAATACTCACCTGATAAATAGCTTCTAGACGCGCATTATTTTTGAGAGTCTCTAGGGATGTACGATAACTTTCCCAAAGGAATTTCAGCCAAGGAGTGACGAGAGCCCTATCAGTACGATCCTTGCTCTGATCTCCGCTGACAGCACCAAGGATAATACTCTCAGGCGTCTCACTAGCTTCCAAATCATCTACGTCGGTTAATGCTACTGCTTTATCTGCCTTCTCCTGTGCTTCCTGTACTTTGGCATCTGCGAGCTGGACAAATTTGCTGATGACAACCTCGATGGATCCAACACTCGTGTTCTGAGCGATATTTTTGTACTGCATCAGGCCTTCCTTTGCAGTCCTTCCTTTACGCATATCGACACAGAGCTCCACGAAACGTATCATGATGGGCTCCAAAGACTGGAGAGAAGTTGTGCGGAAGCGTTTTGAAGAAAACATTTCTGACAACGATTGCAGCGCGGCATGTGTTTGGCCAACTGAGACCAGACCTTCTGCTTGCTTGAGGACGGCTTCTGGTTTTGAGAACGGAGCCATATTGGATTCTATGAAAGACGATGGTCCTGTTCAACATGGCCAAATGACCATTATACTGCGAAACATACATGTTTATGCGATTTGCGAGATCGTAAGAGGTCGTGGTGGGGATATAAAACCCCTTGAGAGCGTTGCAGCGACTTTTGGGTAGAGTACACGGAGCACGGAGCCAACGATGACCACGAAAAAAACAAGGTTCGCACTCATCTCGGTCCCGCCCGTGGGAACCCTGCCCTGGGTCGCGGGTTCGATCCTGCACCCTGGCAGAATATCAGCCATGCTTTGAACTTGCACTCTGATAACGATACCCTGAGTCACATCATGTCCCTAAAGCCATCGACATCACGTACACTGCTAGAAAACTCAACACTTGTCTCTCAAGGTGCCGAAGCTGCAAGTCTAGTTATAATGTCTACACCACAAACTTTCATTGACACTAGATATCCCATCGCGCCTTTTGATGTATTCAGAAAGTTTACAAGGCTTATTTGCATCAGGCTTCAGTATCAGGCACCGACGACGATGGAGGGCCTGTACCCGTTCTTCTCAAATACCGGTTTCAAAAGCAATACCGCCATCCCTCTCTGGATACTTCGCTCACGCGATCACGCATAGCTGGCGAAGCGCGAGCTTTGATCAAATGTTTACGGTCTGTCCACTTTATTATGCGAGCTAGAGTTATATTTGATCGCAACTATAGTTCCGGCGTCAATGTACCTGGTATTCGTATGGTAGATGCTGCTAGTGGTGTCCTCGCAATAGAATGGATCGAGGGGAAAAGTTTGCGACATCTCTTTCCTGGAGGAGCCGAAGACGATGATGTTTCAGAAGATATTGCTGAAAGTGCAGACGAAGAGGACGAAGAGGAAGACCTATTGACTGGTTTTTATGTATCTCGGGGTATTTTTCTCTTTTGCGCTTGATATAATTAGACATATCTTTCATACAGGATTCTAGATTTACTGATGACCAAAGTCGGGAACGAGATCGCAAAAATGCATCTTGCAGACGTCATTCACGGCGACCTTACCACGTCAAACATGATGCTACGACAGGGTAGCAAAGACCTAGTGAGCTTCTTGCTGTTATCTTTAGCCCTTTCTGTGAAACTAATTCCCGTAGGTACTCATTGATTTTGGTCTGGCATATATGTCGACACTAGTAGAAGACAAAGCGGTTGACCTCTATGTCCTCGAACGCGCCTTTTCATCGACGCATCCAGATTCAGAGCCGTTGTTTTCCTCTGTACTTGAGGCCTACAGAGTCAAAATGGGAAAGCAATGGACGGCTATCGGAAAAAGGTTGGACGATGGTAAGTGAAGTTACCGTCAAGCGCGATATCATTCTGACTATATTAACGGACAGTACGGTTGCGGGGCAGGAAGCGCAGCATGGTGGGATAGACCGCTTACTATTATGTATTGCTACGATCACTTCTGCGACATTCTCACTATTCTATCTATCAATGTATGAATATATGTACTACAGCAACTTCAGTCAAGTACGTTCAATGTGATCTGTGGTCGTAAATCACGAGAATCATGCAGCTTCTAAGTGGCTTTTACAGCCAAATGTCGCAAAAATCGGTTTTAGCATATATGACCATGTCGCAGCCTTTTGCACGTTTTCAGGCCTGATGGATCCATATTTTGGTTGCGTCAGAGTACAAAATTGCATGAAAAGGTGCAAAAGGCTGCGAAAAGCCGATATATGGTAAAACTGATTTTTGCGACAAACTTGTCTCTAGCAGTGGGTAGATGTAAGCTGAGGGCTTACTCTCATTGGACCCGCTGGTTGTTGTATTGTCAATGTACACACTGCAGGCATTGGTTTATCAAAAGTCAATATTAAGCTCTGACAAAACCGGATAAACCCGGTCTCTGCCAAAGCAGCCATTGTTCTCCATGGAGTAACCATTGTTCTCCTAGGAGCACAATTGTACTCCTAGGAGTCATTATACTGTAGCGAGTAGCACCTCCGACTATAAGTAGTAGGGGGTTTAGTATAGGAATACCTCAGTCGTTTCTATAGCCTCTCGGGCAGCAGCTGAGTTTCACTTAGTTTTATTAGGTTATGAGCCCTGGTGCGCAAAAGCTACATAGGAAATAATTCTTATTTGAAACGGCAACCTCGGAACCATGACCACAGCACACGATACATCCGCATGTCCAGTTCTCACTGGACCCAACAATTTTCAAATATGGAAACTCTGGATCATCTCAAAGCTACGTCGGGAAAAAGTTCTCCGGGTTGTTACTGGAGAGGAGCTTAAGCCCTCACCAGGAAAACCTACCTCCTCAGAGGATCCTGAGATCACCTGGATACTTAAGGATGAGAAGGCACATGGAATCATCCAGGACCACATCTCTGATGCCCTCCTAATGAGGACTGGAGACCTCACCAGCTCCAAGGAGTTATTTGATAAACTTGTCTCACTCTATCAGACGTCCAACATTGCCTCGGCCTTCTATTCATTCCAGCAACTCACCAAATTGTCCTGGGATGGGACATCACCTATCCAGGACCACATTGCAAAAATCCGGACAATTGATTCGCACCTCTCCGGAATGAAACTAGGAGTTGATACCAAACTCATGGCCTTCGCTCTTCTCCAATCTCTCCCATGCACTCCTGAATGGCAAATATTTCAGTCATCGGTAATCAACACAATTGAAGAAAATGAACTTACCTTTGATGCAGTTGAGATCCGGATCACTGCAGGAGTTGCACGACAGTCAGGGAAGGCCCCTGGAGGTTCCAAAACAGCACTCAAATCCAAGAAGAAGTGGTGTGACTTCCACAAAGCCAAAACACACAACACCTCGGAGTGTCGAACACTTCAGTCAGCCGGAAAAGGTCAAAGGAAGAAGGAAAAGGCAAATACGGTGGAGCAATCATCTGGATCTGACTCCGAGGAGGAACAGAGTCACATTGCATTGGAACATGTACATATTTCCAAGCCCCTTGCTAAACGCATTCAAGCTTACCTTGTGTTGGAACCCGATAAGACCAAAACAACAATTATTATTGACTCCGGAGCAACATCCCACATGGTCCCTCACTGCTCCTGGTTTGAGCCAGGAACATACCATGTTCTGCATCCTCTGAGGACAATCAGTTTTGGGGATGATTCCTCTGTAAATGCCATTGGCATTGGAACAGTAATCCTACAAGCAACTGTTGGCAAAAAAGACTACAATATTGCACTGTCAAATGTCTTACTTGTGCCAAACTTCACGTTAGCACTCGTCTCTGTCCACAAATTGTCCAAAACGGGGTTATCAACACTTTTTCCAGCAGGGTCAAATGCTTGTGAAGTTCGGAAAAAGGAGGAACTTATCCTCACTGCGTTACACAAGCGAGGACTTTATCATATCCAAGCAAAACCCGAAATCAACCCGGAGTCAGCTTTTGCAGCAGTAGATGTAAATTTATTGCACAGGAGCATGGGACACATTGGAATGGACCGCTTGCAACGAATGGTTACAAAAAGACAGCTCCAGGACATAGACACCCTTACCGGAACCCCGGAGTTTTGTGAACCTTGTGCTTTAGGAAAGATGAAGAAATTACCTTTCAAGTCCACTGGAGGAAACCGAGCCAAGCGCCCCATACAAATTGTGCACACAGATGTTGGAGGACCAATCAAACCAACTTCCAGGGAGGGTTTTCAGTACTGGATTATCATTGTAGATGATTTCTCCAAATTTCCATGGATATATTTCCTAAAACATAAAAGTGAAGCACTGGCACAATACAAGCAATAGAAAGAAGATGTCCAAAAATTCTTCCGGACTCATTTGGGAGAAGAAAACTTCACTCCACTATACACAGAATTCCTCCGGAGCGATGGGGGAGGAGAATATACTGGCAATGCATTCAAAAATCAACTCCGAGGAGATGGTGTCATCCAAGAAACTACAGCTGCAGATACTCCGGAACAAAATGGCATTGCAGAACACATGAATCAGACATTGGCTACATTAGCAACCACTATGCTCCATGATTCCAAGCTCCCAAAGTCATTTTGGGTAGATGCCATGCAAACAGCTGCATATATCACAGCACGCAGCCCAGCATCAGGACTCCATGGAAAGACCCCATATGAAATACTGTTTAAAAGGAGAGTTGATCCAACTTTGTTTTGCCCTTTCGGATGCCAAGCATATGCCTTGATTCCGAAAGACAAAAGGCAAGGGAAGTTTTACTCCAAGGGGCGCAAAGCCATAATAATTGGCTACACACATGGAAAGCAAGCCTACAAACTCCTAGACACTGAAAAACGGACTGTGTTTTCCAGTCGGCATGTCATATTCAATGAATCCGGAAAGGTACAAAAGGATGACACTGCTCCCTGGAACACAGACACTAGCACAGATCAGTGGGAGGAACTCATTTCAGAGAATGCTCACTATCCAGACCAAAAAACATTGGAGGAGGATGATCCTGACCCTCAGATCCGAGATCCAAATGAATTGCAAATGGAACCACATCTCCAAGGAGATGTTCCACAAGCAATGGAACCATATCAGCATGAAGATGTTCCGAGAGCAGTGGGAGCACCTGATCAGCTAAGACACCCTCCACAACAGTCTCTACAACCAAGACCTGAACACTGGCCATCTTCAGAATGGAAAGCCAAAGTAGAGTTACAGTCAGTGGGAGGACAGCCCCTCAACATACAGCCAGCTGATGTGGAAAAAGTCCGAATACAGCTAGACAGCCTGTCCATTGGATCAGCTTCTGGAAGGCATACAACACCTCCGAAGAGTCATCCAACGCCTCCAAGGAGTGATTCAACACCTTCAGGAGTGAGTGGGGCAACAAATACACAAATGCGTCTACTCCCTGGAGTACCTGCACAAGCTCCTAAAAGAGCAGTCATGCCTGCTGAAGTCCTAGGAGTACGCAGAAGCAGTCGCCAGACCCGTCCTACAGACAAAAACTGAGATTATCAAAGGACTCTAGATGAGGAACAGTCTTGAAAAGAGCAGCATGACAACTCCATGGAGAAACCTAACACTCCTGAGGTTCATGAAGAAACATCTGATACAGAGGAGACATTCTTTGCTGGAATAGCAAGTACCGGTCCATCTAACACAGACCTTCCAAGGACACTAAAGGAAGCCTTATCACGTCCGGATGGAGAATTATGGAAGTCTGCCTTGGAGGAGGAACTCCTAAGTCTCAATACTAATGCAGTATATGACACTGTTCCACTTCCGAAGGGAGTAAAACCCATCACATCAAAACCTGTGTTCCGGATCAAGTTTGATTAAAACGGAAACATTGAGAGATACAAACTCTGGATTGTTGCACAAGGTTTTACTCAAAGGGAGGGGATTGATTACCAGGAGGTTTTTGCTCCGGTTGCAAACTTAGAGTCAATCCGAATTATTCTAGCCCTGGCAGCAAAGTACGACCTAGAACTTGATCAAATGGACGTATCCACAGCTTATCTCAATGGAGAACTTGAAGAAAAACTGTACATGCTTCCTCCAGGGGGTGTTCCTATCCAACCTGGATACTGCTGGAGATTGAAGAAATCCATCTACGGGTTAAAACAAGCTGGTCGTACATGGAACAAAACTTTTGATTGCAAGCTCCAGGAGCTCAGTTCCACAAGACTAAATGCAGAAAAATGTCTCTATGTATTCCGGGACAACAAACAAATATGCTTTGTTGTTGTCTATGTAGATGACCTCCTCCTAGGAGCTTCATCCTGAAAATTCATGGATATCACAAAAGCCAAACTTGAATCCATATTCAAAATGCGGGACCTTGGAGAAGCAAAATACATCCTCGGAATAGAAATCCAACGTGATCGTTCAAACAAAACAATATCCCTATTGCAACGCCAATACATTGACACAGTCCTGGAGCGTACTGGAATGAAGAACTGCAAACCAGTATGGACACCAATGGCCCATGGATCAAAACTCCTTGCAAATGCTCCAGGGGAAGATATTGTGCAACACAAGATGCATATTGAAGGGTGTCAAGTGTCATACCTCTCAATTGTAGGCTCCCTCATGTATGCCATGCTTGGAACCCGCCCAGACATTGCCTACGTTGTTGGAATACTAAGCAGGCATAGCTCAGCTCCAAGGAGCCATCACTGGGAAGCTGCAAAATGTGTCCTCCGATATCTGAAAGCAACCAGGGACATGGAACTACAATATGATGGCACAGATGTCTCCATGGACATGGATTTCTATGGATATTCAGATGCAGATTGGTCTGGAGACCCAGACAAGTTTTGATCAACATCAGGGTTTGTCTTTATCACCATCCGAGGAGAAATCTCCTGGACAAGCAAAAGACAAAGCATGGTAGCTTTATCCTCCACGGAGTCAGAGTACATTGGATTGAGCAATGCTGGACAACACCTTGCATGGCTTCGGACATTTTTTGAAGAAATTGGACATGCTCAAAATGGACCTACAACATTGCACTGTGACAATCAAGCAGCTATCATTCTTACACGAGATCCACAGTTCCGTGCTCGCACAAAACACATTCAACAGAACTTTCATTTTATCCGAGATGACTTAGTATCAAAGGGAGAGGCAGTAATCAGATACATTCCTACAGGAGATATGGTTGCAGACATTCTCACTAAAGCCCTCACTCATGAAAAACACTGGAAATTCTCTAAAGCTATGGGACTACGGTTGCACTCGAGTGGGAGTGACAAAACCGGATAAACCCGGTCTCTGCCAAAGCAGCCATTGTTCTCCATGGAGCATAGCCACCACTTCATGGAGTAACCATTGTTCTCCTAGGAGCACAATTGTACTCCTAGGAGTCATTATACTG